TTGATCGCCACAGAACCTGCTTTTGATCAAAAACCGCCTCAGTCCGAAAACCCACCGAGCTACACTGGGATCCTCCGTGAGCTCCTGTAGGTACCCCTCCAAGTTCTCCTTGGGACACAGCATGACACGGCCCTACAGTCGCATCTAACGTGGTCCTGCCACCCAGAAACCCTGGTTGAGACGAATCTAGACTCCAGACAGGATTCTCGAATGGACTTCAGCCTAGGCCTACCTACAGAAACTGGAAACACCCAATTGTTGAACCAGCACGACTACCAATTCGGAGTAAAGAACATGGAAAAAAAGCCAAGTCTTGGAAAAGGTCTTTTCGAATCACTGCAAGAAAAGGACGACTTATGAGACATGCAAACACAGCACCGAGGGAACAAGCAAACAGCGCCGAGGGAACCGACAAGTCGTCGTTCTCGCCGAGGGAATCCTTCTCGGAATCGGTGTTCAATCCAAGCAAAATACTTCAAAAGAAAGAATTTAAAGAATCAAAACGTAAATAACTAAACACAACTATAAACAAACATGTATAATTGCATATGTAATCGGAATTTAAACAAAGATACAATATAATGTATATATACCATCATAAACCCGTGTGACCCCCAATATTTTTCAAGTTCTTTCGGCAGTACCGGCTCTTAATGCAAAAACCGTTGGTTTGTGCTGTCCTATGCTGTCCTTGTTTCGGTCCCAAATCTTCCAAGGCTCCATGTGCCAGTCGTGCAATTTGCGGTTTGGAGGCAGCATGGTTTTGACACCCGGGGGAGGCTTCGGCCAGCGACGTGTCTTGAAGGAGTTCGACGGCCTCAGGGCAAAAGGCAGCCAGCCGGGCTCGGCGCCCATGACTAATGGACCAGTGCGACACGAATGATCATCAAGCGTAAGGTCAATAGAATAGGTGCTTCAAAACTGTGTCCCATCAACAGAAAGTCTACTGTAACTTTGTATGAAAGGAGCGGTGTTTTATGACAGGAGAAACTAAGATAACAACTGCGCAGCCGAGGTGTCAATAGCACCCCGAATTGCAAACGAACCATGTGCAGGTTCTTTATGCTACTCTGGATAATACATATATACACTGCACAATCCCCACTAAACCGCATAAGGTAGTCAGGGCATACCCACGCTTCGAAACTCTCGGAATATTTAAAATAGCAAGGACTCAGCTGCCCGCGCATCGCGGTTCTTCTACAGCGTTGTGGTGGGGGAAAAACAGACATGTGGGGATGCATTAGAGTGGGCAGGTAGACTTGCCGATGGGTTTTGGATGGTTTTGGTCTATGTCTATGTGTCCCAAAATACCCAAGACTTTGGGCTTCTCCCTACTTAACACACACCAGTAAAACACACGGACCTGTCATCCGCCACATGGAGTCCGTGACGGTGTTCTGCAGCCAACAAACTGCATGAAAGTGACCCCACCACTTCAGCGGTTTCGGGGAGCTGGGAGAGTCCAACACCGCATGGGACGTTGGTGTTCTGACTACCCCAGCGCTTCGGACGTCTCTCGCACACCTGCGACTACTGGGAAAAAAAGAACTGTAGAAAGCTTCACAGACAACCGCCAGGTGTGTATCTGTTTCCACTGAGCACTTGTTCATCCCGGAATTGGGAGGGGACGATCATTTGGCGACACATTGGATGTCGCCGTTCTTCGTTCTGCGCTTCGAGGATGTCATTCCAATCCTGTCAGAGAGAGAGAGAGAGAGAGCAGGAAGGAGACAGGGAGACGGGGAGACGGGGAGAGAGAGAGAGAGAGAGAGCGAGGGAGCGAGGGTGAGAGACCAATCGAACCATCTGATGTCAATAATGGATGTGGGCGTTTTGCAATTTGCACGGTGTGTTTTCGATTCGTACCGGTACCATGATCCACTCCTGAAAATGGCCTGCAACCGGATGCAGGCTTCGGCCTCAGCCTGAACTACATAGAAAGAAACCAACTGGGCCAGTCCTTTCTGAAATGGAGGGAGCGCAAACGAAATGGAAAAAAAACAAAAATGATTTGGCCATACATGGCCATCGAGTCCGACAAAACACCCTTCACTTTTCTTTAGAAAGGAGAAGAACTCCTCACTTCCCTTCTTTCAAAAAAAGGAACACTCCCCAGAACCCGCAAATCATCTCAACAGCTCAGATGCTCCAAGAGCTGCTCATCGAGGTCTACCACTTCTGTTCCCTTCATCATCCTGCAACAAGACGACCGACCACGGCGACCGAACCCGCCCGCGCACGCGCACCACGACCGGTAGGTCATGGGTGGTCTCGGCCTCCATGGACGTCCAGATGAGAAGGGCCCGGGCTCGGTGAGTGGCTTGGATCCGTCAAACCTGACCCCAATAACCGTTCAGCAAGGGTCCTCCCCCGGTTCAGCTGTTTAGATGACCAGCCCAACTGATGGTAGACTTGGTCGAACGGCAGGCCGTCATTCCACCGAAAATGTCCCCTGTGTGCGTAGAACTCACTCGCTCCTCTGGGATTGCTGCACCGGAGTCTGCAGCCGCAAGGAGTGGCTCCCGTGGAGATGAGCCCTCTGGCTCCCAGCGTCATCATGCCTCCGCGCCAGCGGGGCACCAAGTTGGAGGCTTGAAGCCTAATGTATGGAGATGGACGTCAGATAGAGATGACATGATACTACAGTACAGTGTATATATAAAATATATCTGACTAATGTTCCATTACCATTACATGTCGGCGATTGTATCAACTGAACGGCCGTCTCCCGAACGGCTTCAGGCACGGCCCAGGCCCTGGGGAGTGAAACGTCAACATGTGCGTCCGGCAAGGCTGGCAACATATGCAAAAGCAGGCTGTGCTGTTCAAGGTAAGTTATGGCCTGTCTGATTTCGAGACCAGTAGCTGGGCGCGATGTCGAAACGACCCAGCAACCTACAGGTCTTTGTCCCTTTGTAGATTGGGCGTCCAGGCGTCGCGGGTGCCAGACCCAGGTGTCTGTGTTTGGAACACTTGTGCCCCGTATGATACATGCAGTGTCGTTGCACCTGTCACCGACTGCCGGATCGAGAGGTGAGTGAGAAATGGCACTCGTCTGTGGGGCCCCCAAGCTTGGGTGGGTTTTAGATGGACCCCCCATCTAAAAGGACATGGTCTTGGGGTCTTGGGGCAACTTGTGCCATGTCTCACCTCTCAATCCGACGGTCAATGGCACACCTACGAGTACTTTCTGCCTGATGTCCATCCCACTGGCATGCAGCAGAACAGACCTTGACAGCCTGCTATATCGTCTTATATGGCGCTCACGCAAATAGGAACCAGAAGCGTGCAGAAGTGCTCCCTAATAGTGTCTTTCAATCGCCCTCCGGTGGTGCTCACATGTTCCCCAAAGAAGCGAAGCCGAAAAAACCCAGGTCCATGTGGCTGTGTGGAACTCAACCTCCCAAACCGGTAGCTTGACATCCGTTGGTTGGCGGTTCCAAGGGGGTCTCTTCCCGAGTGTACATTCCGTACAGCTCGACCCTGGAGATTCTCCGCACTAAACCTGTGAGCCGACGGCCCAGTTGCGACGGTTTCGCCCTCTGCTCCTCGGACATCCTCACGATCCCAAAGCATGACACGTCGCGCGCGTGGAGATTAAGCGGTCGCGAACATCGCGCCGCTACAGCAATCACAAATGGAATTGATGTTCCGCAACGCACCAACGCAACCTCTCATCCTGAATGGTGTTAAATTCCCACTCGACCATCCATCCCAGGGCTTTGGTCCCAGCTTAAATTGGACTGGTGTGTTCCTTCACCAGACATCAGGCTTTGAAACGGTTTATTGTTACCCCGGGTGCACTCTGCTTGACCCACCGAGCCCCAAGAGAAGTCGTTCCAGGAACTTGCTCGGACCAGGCAGGGTCGGTCCAGCGGGTGGGTCGGACCCTTCGTCTCATCCTCTCGGTCACTTGGAGAACCATCCCCCCGGTTCTGAACGGCCCAGTCGCGACGACGTCATCAAAATGGGTGCACTCAAAAAAGATCTCGAGCTCCCAGAGAATTCCAAGACGCTGTACAAAAGGTCTCGACCAGTTCACTCATTAGGCCGGGAGGTCTCCCCAGGAAGTCGATGGCGCATGCTAGCGATGAAGAACGAATGGCCACAGCCAGAAAGCAGACGCGCTCGACCAAGGACTCCCCATGCAAATTCCCATGGCCCCCCCTTACTCCGACCGAGGCTCGAGGAGACGAGCCGCTCCTTTTTGCACTCTCCTTGGCACGAAAACACCGTGAAGACCTGGAAATCAGCCTTGTTGCGAGATCCAAACATGGCAAAATATGTCAAGCAGTCAAACACCTATATAACTATATAATATATAATAGATTATAATAGTGTCAGAGGAGCAAAGCGTGCTAGGGCATCTGAGATAATTACAGGTGATACACTCTTGTTCACCAAGTGGGAGCACCCTCAGTCTTCAGTCTCAGTACACATCTGACAAGAGAGATACCATTTTACATTCATTGACCGATCCCTCACTACAGTACCTTTGTAGAAAAATACCTTTCATGCAGTTCATGACATCGCTGATGCCATGCGACGGACGGACACGGCAGAACCGCGGACACAGCAAGAATGCCTTCCAAGAGCTTCTTCGTCATCAACATCTATTGAGACAGGACAGGTGCAACGACATTTTTTACCAACAAGATCTATGGCTGGTTTGATTATATAACCAAAAAAGACTAAGCTGTCCAGCTTCTTCACCAAGCGTTTTGTCGATGGATCCCTGAATCTATCCATATCACTAGGTCATTCTTGCACAGACAGCCCATCTATGGGCCCATCACATGTTCCAGCCCAACCCCCCAGGTCCCCATGGCGCATGGGTGACTACAGTATAGTCGGTGTCTTTTGGGGGCGGGTTGTCTCAGCCTCTCCCTCATTCGGCAGACACGGTCGACCGTGGCGTTGACCCCGGACCTGAAGACCCAAGAAAGACCGATGAACTCGTCCTCTTCCGAAGCGAAACCTTCAGGAAGCGAACTCTTTCATGGTGCCCTGGCAGCGTTTTCAGCATTCACCATCGACTCCAAATCCCCAGAATCTGCTTCACTCCCTGCAAAAAGGTCCCTCCAACAATGAACTTCATTGGGCTAGCAGCGCTGGAAAAACGGTGGTAAATGCTGACCCCCACCAAAAAAGTATATAACTTGGAGTCCCTCTTTCGATATGACTGGACCATGAACTCGTCTCCATCTTGCAGGGCTCCCAAGTTCATTGCATAAATGGCTCGTACTGGTGAATTGCTGGGCCTCTTTTCCTCGACGTCACCGATGTGGGTCTTTACTAGACATAAAGACACCACTGGCCTCACGCCACCCGCATCTCATTTCTCATCCAAGCTTCCTGTAGGAGCCGCAACAAAGTTCCGGTTTTTGGTTGTGCTGCTGGCACCACAGCCCATGGTTGTAGCGGCTGACACTGTACACGCAACGGGCATTAAACTACAAGCCAAAGAGCTGTGTGACGGTCTCCAAATCAAACGACGGAATCCCTCCAAACCAACAAATTCATCCGGCCTTTTTGAAGAATTTGAGGTCAGTTTCAGCCGCTCAAACTTGAAGTGCTGGCTCCAAAAGCGAGCTTCCAGCAGTAGAAGAGTGAGCTCCAAAAGTAAACACAATACCTGGAAATTCACCACCACCGACGAGACCACATGGGCACATGAATCACAGACCTCGAACTCTGCATGTGAACCAGGAGAACCATGTCCGAGAATCTCCAAACTAGCAAAGTCTTGAGAACCCAAAGAAAGATGTAAAATAATATTAGGTTTGTTCCACACCCCTGCAAGACATCCCAAAACAGCATGCATTTGTGCATTAATTCATTCATGCATGCATTCCATGTGTTCTGTCTTTCTTTCTTTATGTTCTTTTCTTTTCTGGTTTGATTGCTTTCGTTCTGTCTTTCTTTCTCTCTGTTCTGATCCCAAATAAAAGGCGATCAAATAGACCGGTCCACCCGACCGGAGCCGACACCCGTACGGTCGTCGACTCAAGGAACCGCTTCAACCATGCTTGGATCGGCATAAAATATGTGTATGGTAACCGAGGGATACCATAGATAGACATATTCCTTTTTTTTTCCAGAACCTGAGTGACCCATATGTTGGATCACCGGATCATCCCAAATATGGTCTGTTCATGTCTGGGCTCTAGACGCTCTGGGCATAGTATATTTATATTATATGTACAATAAATGTAATAATTAGGATTAATTAGGCAAGCATATCTTGGGAGTTGTCCGACTCGATCCAAAACCCAGGTGCATGTCTTGACTCCCTCTAAAAGGTTCCGTGCCTTTTGGTGTCGCACGTACCGTCTCGCGTACCTCACGTGTGTTCTGGGCACTGGAAGACTTGCTCTTGCCATGTCGACCACGGCCCCTCAGAGACACAAGTTCCTCGAGCTCCGTCGACTCCTGAATGCCACGGCCTCCACGGCCTCCACGGCCTCCCGGAAACGAAGGATCTCCTCTGAACTTCCGTTTGAAGGGCATGCCCAGCTTCTCACAGTGAGCTTTGGACTCCTGATGCTCCTGCATTTGCTCCTTGGAAGTAAAGGCCTTAGAGCAAACAGCGCACCAAAACTGGAAGCCCGCCCACTGAGCCACCGTGGCATCGGTGAGGTGCCAAAAATGGCACTTGCCCGCAGGTCTCTTGCAGCCGCCCCTTTGATGAAAGTCTTTGCAACGAGGAATGTTCAAAGATGCGATCACCTCAGCCAGCTTCTTACTGTACGGACGGAGAGGCAGCTCTCTTAGAACTTGAGCTCGCTCGTCATGAGTGAGCTTGCTGGGATTCACGTGCAGGAATTTGCAGTCGTCAAACTTGCACCGGCCTTCGAAATAGCGGAAGCACACGGCGTTGCGGGCTGCCCGAGTCTTTCGCTTCTTTTTCTCCAACGATTGCTCCCCAACCTCTTGCACCTTCTTGCTTGACTTTGAAGCCTTTCTGACATCTTTCACTTTGGTCAACCGTGAGGATCGGGAGGGTTCAGCGACCTCTTGATCTTCATCAACATCGTCATCTGACTCATCTTCAGGATGCGCTTCCTCAGGATCTTCCTCAAGCTCTTCTTCCTCATCTTCCAGGGCGCCAATCTGCTCGTCCAGGTTGTTAAGTGAAACCATCAGAAGTTGGATGAGCAGCAATCCATGGCTATGCACTATGCACGACACTCAGCTACAATATGTTCTTTTGGGATGTTGTCCAGAGAAAACAATGTTGTTGCCAGTCCAGATGCCTTTGTGCTGATGGCGTCTGTCTCAGCTCAAAGCCTGATGACCCGCGTTGTGGAGGTTCGAACGTGGTTGTTTCATCAAAACGGATGCCTCAAGGACAGTCGCGGAAAACATGTTTCTCCTATCACCACCAGTTCTCACCTTTCTTAAGGAACACCAATTCCACCAGTTCCACCAGCCAGGTACTCAGATTCAGTAACCAGTGATGGTGCAGTAAGCATTACCTTGCTCCCTCATATGTGGGCTTCATATCGGCACCCATCACCCACCATCCATGATGTTCGCAGGCACAGAACAACGAGTTGAACGCCGTGTTTGCCATGTCCAGATCGGGGCGTGGGAATCGTGTACGTTGGGAATCAATGAGTCGTTTGATGGTTTTTGAGTTGTTTGCCCCCGGGTTGTGCCCCAAGCCCCCAGTCTGAGAAAATGATAAAAGTCTGGCTGTCATAGTCTCTTGGAGGACGTTGTTCACAATGGTGAAGTGTTTACTGTTGACTTATGGAATGACCTTTGGACCCATATCTTCAACCACGTCTTCTCAACCTCCCATAACCTAGTACCTATCCGGGGTAGCGAAACCTGCGGCCAGCCGCCCGGCCTAGGTGTGACGTCCGTCGGCAGCTAGCCGTCTGACCCGGGTTTAAACGGTCCAAAGGAGTCATGGTCCTTTCGGTGGAGCGGAGACGCTACGGAGCTAAGCCGATCAGGCCGTTTTATGTCTTAGTCATACCACGGAGGTGGCGCCGCTCCGTTGGAATTCGGAACTTGGGAACTTCGGGTCATATACATGGATCCCCCCGTGTGACTTGGTGTCCACTGATGTCCACTGAAAAGCTAGGGTGAGCTCCCCCCGCCACGTGAGTTCCCCTTCCAAACCGTCGGTCCACCGTCGGTGCCTGAGTGGAGGTTTGCAGCTCTCGAATGGTGGAGCCACCTGAGCTCTCGAATGGAGCCTGAGGTCTTTTCATCTTCGAGGTTCCGGAAGAGAGGTGATCAAAGAACCATCATGGACCTGCAGATCAAAGAATCAGGACCCAATAGAATGGGACGTATCATCCACCGATGTTTTTGGGTACCCATCCTGCTGGTTGTTGCCATTCCCATCATAGGGGGGGTGAAATTAGAGAACTGGTTCCGTCCAATCCATGGGACTGAGTAGTTGGACGGGCCCACTTTTTCCACTCCATCTCGCTCCTAAAAAGTCGCTCCAGTCGCTGTGGTAGGCCGGAAGGGAATGTCTAAACAACTGCCTTTGTCACAACTGGGGATCCTCAACACATATATAGACTAATAGTCTATAGGTCTATAGGAATCTATTGGACTGACTATAATATAGGAATCCTTCTGGACTCAACGCTGCAGGCCCCGTTCTGAGGTCTGCCAGCAGGGCTGCCCTCCCCTGTAGTTTCCAATTTGTTGGGTGTGACTCAGTGCCGCGACTACTCAGTGACTCAGTGCCCTAGAGACGCAATCAATCCAAGAAAATGAGTACCTGCAGGTGTGCGCAAAAACACGTAAACACCTTCGAAGATCAACTGGCTTGCCGTTACTAGGAGGCATCAACTGGACACGGTCCAGTGAGATGGAATTACACCGTCGACAGTGTAACCCGTATGTATGGAAAATAGACGCCTATAGGTGTTCATAGGTGTTCCACCTGTGCTGCAAGCCAGTGGTTGTCTTCTTCTCCCCGCGAAAACCACCTCTTCCTGGGCACATTCCAAGGAAAGGTGTTCTTGGCCCTCCATCTCATGCCTGATCTTCCCAGTCCACAGGCCAATTTTCAGCCATCCACTCACCATCCCTCCCGTATCCACTCACCATCATCACCATCCCTCCCGCTGATGCGCGGCCTTTGCCGATGATCGCCCAGCCCGACTCGCGCGAGGGGAGCCGGATCACCGCGTGCTCTCGGTCCTCGGTCGATCGGTCCGATGCGGTCGGCACGTCGGCAGGTGGGTCGTTTGCACCGGTCGAGTTCATTCAGTCTAACAGACCGGTCTGACATATTCCAAATGTATTCAATGGAATTGATCCAAATTCCATCCACATATACAGAACTTTCACTGGATGGATGCTCCACTATCATCCCATTGATGTTGGGTTAACACGTCTCCCAGCCATCAGTGCACCAAACACATAGATCAAATGCTGCAGGCGGAACGCCAGTCTTCTTTGTTAAGTTCCCCCAGAATCTAGGAACCAAATGAATACAGGCGGAGGGAGCTTCCTTGAAGCAGCGTGAGCTATCCTGCGTCTTAGGTAGTGGTGTCCTGCCCAATAGTAGCTACTTTAGCCACCTCTTCCTCTATCTGCGGCCTTAACAAGATTAACAACCTCTGGTCCGATCAAGTCGAAAGAGTTGAGTAAAGGGTCGATTCAAGTCGAATAGACTCTCTCTCGGTCTGGTGTCTAATCTGTGTCGAATCGGTTCTTTGATGGGTTCGGAAAAAGGGAGAGCTCAGCACAGCGAGGACCGCGGAGGTCCAACCATTTGGGAGAGATATCTGGCCATCTGGGTCATCTAATGAGCTGTCTGAACATGGTGCAAATAATCTTGCGTTGTGCTTGTCAGTTATTCTATCTACCCATAGATCAGCCTGTGCAGTCGAAGACATACAGTAACGTGTAGTCGAGTCATTGTCGTTATGTGGGCCACTTGGGAAGCAGATTGCAGTGTCTCAATTCACAGTGCAACAACTCAACAAAAGCACACGGAGATCCCCGGAGATCCACGGAGATCCACGATATTGCGCCCCAACAACAGTAGATCCATCTCCGTCTGGATCACCACCGGTCCCCGCTCCACGGCCGGTCCCCACTCCACGTCGCGAGCTCCACCGATCACTCCCCCGCCATCGCAGAGAAGGCACCCAGCGCTGGAGCGAGTTCCGGATGCGGTTGCGCACCTGCTCCACAGACCTGTCGACGAACCGGGCCGAGTTCCCGTCCGGGCCGGTTCGGAGGTCGTCTTCGACCCAACGAAAGTGGAAGACCTGTGCAGTTGCACTCTCGTCCGACAAAGAAGTAAAGAAAGAAAGATATCGCAAACCTGAACCCTGCAAACGGTTTCAACAGGGCAACTGTTGCCAAATCATAAAACAACATAAACCAAGTACTACCAATAGAGCTTGAGTTAGAAGTCGCTATCCATGTGAACACGCTGAGTCACGCGGCTGTTCAGAGCCAGTCAACTTCGCCTCGGGTTGCCACACATCCACATTGTGGCTGCAGCCCGGTCCTCAGGGACAGAGTCCTATGCTATCCTCCAGAGAGGCTCCCAACCAGGGTACCGTCCTGCCACTGTGAAGGTGCTCCGGTCACATGAGGTGCTTAGAAGAGCATTTTGCTCCGCCACAGTGCTTTTCTGTCAACTGTGCTTTCTCCTGGTGTATGTGATTGGTACCTAGACGAGCGCGGCCTCTTCTCCTCTTCGGCTACAAAACTTCAGGCCGTGCAACAAGCAAATCCGGCTCAAAAGAATCACCCGCCAAAGAGAATCCTCTTCGCTTGGAGACTCAGCTTCAAGCACAATGAAACACACGACAAATCTGGAGACATGGCACAAAGTAAATCCAGTCCAGGCAATGTGTTCATGAATAGCAAAATAGATGTAAATATATAGCACGTCACAGCAGTCTAAGTTTGCCAACCTCTACCAACTCAAACATTCAAGCTCATGCTTCGCTCGTGTCGGCCACCGTCCCTGGGCGCCCCCGGGCGTCCCCGGGCCGCCCCGACCAGCGCAATGACGGCGCCGGCACTCTGAAGTCTCATGAGCTCCCGGTCATCGTCGCCCGCCACCCAATCCACCTGAGGCAACAAAGGAACAAAGGCTCCATGTCCTAACTTTAGGTTGGAGGCGGGTTTTGCTAGTGCAGGCCGTGCTATTAGATGGGGGTCCATAGAAACCACTCTCTACTTGGGGGGTAACTTGTGCCATCTACTCAGTACTCTCAACCACTCTCTCGACCCATCTCAAGACAGGCATCCCTAAACCATGTCTTGCCGTGGTCAGATGAGCACTATGAGTGGGCTCCCTCCAGGATGAATCGACGGTTAGTTTCTCTGGGCACCTGAGCGAACTCGGTAGGGGGCCCTGATTCATGTCCTAAGGTTGGGTAGATAAATATATATATATAATATATATATATATATATATGGACCAGCTTGTTCAGTGCCTGACCTTTTTGGAGTCTCCAGTGAACCGTCTCGCAGACCCTTTTGCAGAACCGAAGCAACCAAGGAATCAACACTTGGTCGCCTTGAAGAACCAAAAGGTGCTACGGCCAGTTCACCTGGTTGAACATCCCACACACTCACACTGGGACCACTGGGACCACCTCGGTTCTCCTTCACCCTTGCCGAAGCGGGTACAGTAGGGGAAGGATATAGTATGATATAGTCTTCGTTGGAGTTCTCACTGGTCGCCATTCATTTGTGGGTGTCTGGGCCGCTCAAATGGAAGGCCCAAAAAGTGCCAACTGATTGCCGCCCGAAAGGGAAGAAGAGAGGGGGGAAGAAGAGAGCGCGGTACCTGCCTATTGGTGGTACACGACCGGGGTGAAAAAAACCTTGGATCAACCAAGGTCGTAAAACTTGGGCGATTGGACCGCCCTAACAAAACTCAATTGGTGACCTCTTGCAGTGTCCTACGTCTTTCGGAGCTTCACCAAGGGCGTGGCGGATTCTGGCGGCAGCTCGATCGTGTCACACTCCTGCGCAGTTGTCGCATGTTCTGCAATGGAGGTCATGTGGTTCAGGTGCTGCGCTTGATCCTCAATCCAAAACCACACATCTTGTGGAGCCAGGGGGACAAAAAAGAGGCCTCGTATCCAAACCTTTTTAGGCGCCTGCCATGTCAGGAAGCGTCAGGAAGTGGGTGATATATCATGGATTATGTCTATCTGGCCCGTCGAAAACCCTCAAAAAGTCTCCAATAGTGGATGCCTGGATGCCATGTTACTGCTGTGACCAAGAATCAAAAAGGCGTCTGTGAAATCACAAGCCTTTCATGCTATTTCATGCTATTTCTATTTCACCGAATGTGCCAAATAAACTTCTGAACGTATCATGGGTCCTGCAGCACTGGACTTGTTGGCAGGAAAGCCAAGGATGCACGCATGAAGACACTAGCAGCCCCAGGTGGCTCCTTTTGGTCTGCACCTACAATGGACCTACGAGTTCTTCGTGATGATGACTGAAGGCTGTGTGGCGACTATATTGGACCTTTCTTCGATTCTTGTTTCTTTGTTTCTAACAGGCCTCCAACCTACCAGCGATGGCCTCCGACCCCTGAAAAAACTGAGTGCAAGGCCTGTGGAAAGTAGAAGTGTAAGATCTTTTGCAGCTCGGATTTTGCCTGTCTCACCTGCGCCACGAAGAGAGCTTGTGGGGTCACCACGACAACATCTACACAAGGGCCTGGGACAGAACATAGCGTTTTATAGCGACTTAGCGTACAAGGTTCCCTTTCTCCAGGCTTGGAGTGTGGCATAGTGCATGTGTACCCCATGTGTCAGCCGTTGCCAATTTGAGTGCCGTCATGATCTCCTATGCCATGCTGATCTCCCAGGATGCTAGGTAGCTGAGCTGACTGTACGGGCTGTGTACTAAAGAGTCAGACCTGGTAGACACAGAACGCGGCGTCTAACTTGTTCCTTGTAACGAACTAGGTTTCCGTGCTGCAAAATGCCAGACTCTTGAACGACCTCTAGTAGTTCACCCAGAAAAGGCCTCAAAGACCTCGTGGAAGGATTTACCCTCATAAACCCTCCGTTCTTCTTGTTTTGTTACTAGTAGCTTCTTGTTCCTAATGCCAGGAGCTACCTTCTGTTCGCGTCCGAACGCTCCGTTGGTCGCGATGCCCTTTGTTCCGAACCGGACGCCGTCCTCATCGGGGCCGCCACGGAAGTCTGCGCGATTGGAGCCCTCCGCGATGGTCACCTGGCAAGGAAAATGGATGCTTTTGGGATTGTGGAGGTATTGCCTTGTGATGTTTCTCGCTAACAATGAAGTTATATAACAGTTATATAAAATTTGTGAGTTACCTGCATAGGGGGTTCAATCAGGATTGCCTCTTGAACTGGGATTGAGAAATGAATCTCAAAGATGCCCTCTCACTTGCTGACAAAAATGCAAGAATCTGACTCCCTGGATCTCGTTGTCCGATGTCCGATCTGACTGTTTCTGCCTGGGCGCCGGTGTTCTGCATCAGAAAGCTCAAGTCTCTCTGGAAGTCTGAGTAAGCCTCCAAGCTGAGAACCATGAGCTTACTGAACGGAGATGCAGAACGGAGCAGCTCCGGAGCAACTCGGGTCAACACATCTTTGGATCTATTTGAGAAGTCGATGCGAAGCGGGACAAAGGATGCTAAGAAGATTGAAACATGGATGGAGAGAACCTGGAAACAAGGGAAAACTCTGAAAAAGGCCGCAAGGCCCATGGGGAAACACAGCACTCAAAAGACTCCCTGGTTCCAGGCGATTGTCCGAATGGAAGAACGCACCTTGGGCTGCATCTTCTGAAAGAGGCCTGGCCGCAGCCGCTGTCCGAGCGCCGACTCTCAGGTCTTCCGCTTGATGGCCCAAGTCATGGCGATCATGGGACAGTGTGAAACCATGTGAAACCCAAACCAAGAACCTTGGACCCCTTTGGACAGGAATGAGAATCGATCAGTGGTTGGTTTGAGCTGTACGTCAAACCTTGGGTTAGGGCCGTTAGGGTCAGGGATGATCTGTTGGACCCATGTCCGACCCTTTTTAGGGTCAGGGACTTCTCATCCCTCCTTCACCTTTCTCATCCCTCCCTCCTGCCCTTCGGTCCCTCCCTTCGTCCCGCGCCGGGCATCAGCGCCAGGAACTCCGCCCCCTCACCAGTGCTTCGACGCTCGATGAGAGCTTTCGCCTCCGTTCGGGGCGTGCGAAGGGTTCGGGGCGCGGGCGACAACGTGCGGAGCGTTGGAGCTTTTGGAAAGCGGATTTTGATGCTTGTGTCGGAGTTGAGGTCCTTCAATGGGCATACTCCCTACAAAATAACGCCTGTGCAAAGTCGGAGACTCTGGTCTGTTTGACCCTCGACCCTCGTCTGGACTCAAATATTGGTCCTCTCCAAACACCATGCCAAAATACTAAGCTCTGCAAAATACGTATGACCTACAACCCCTACATGTCATATCACAAGGCCATTACTTCGTTCATCCTCGCCTCCTGGATCGCACCAGATAGACCGGTCAAGCGGATGCCAGTGCCCTGGTCGTTCTTGCAGACCTGCAGTGTCAAAGATTTGGCAAAACCGATGGACGACCCTGGTTGACCTCAGAATAGACGACCTACAGGCGGTCAACCTGCCAGAGTGGCTAGGGCTCCGGGTGCCATTTTCGCCACAGCCATTGGGAACAGGTCCGGCCGGGCTCCACACGCCCGATCTCGGTTTTTTGGAAGGCCAACCTCTGCGGTTGAAAGAGTCCTTTCCGGTGACTGCCCGAAATTGGGACAGCTTCAAGACAGGCTGGGCTCACCAGACTGCTCTGTTTCTCCCTTCTTTGAAAAGCAGAGCTGGTATGAGTTGGTCATATCTGCTGAAATTCCTCTTGCTTGAATCAGAAGCCTCATACCATCACAAAAATACGAGATTCCACAGTTTTGTGGTGCGGCCTCTTCGTTTGCTGCACACGATCCATCTATCGATCTATCATCCATCCATCCATCCATCCATCCATCGATCGATCGATCGATCGATCTATCTATATTTATTTATTTATTTATGTATTTATGTATTTATTTTTTTTTGTTAGTTATTTATTTCTGTCTTTATTTCTTTCTTTCTTTCTTTCTTTCTTCTTTCTTTCTTTCTTTCTTTCTTTCCTTGCCTTGCCTTTCCTTTCCTTTCCTTTCCTTTCTTCATAGCACCAGCAGTCGCACCCCCGGTTCCTTGCGGCCAAAGGACGTTGGCGGTGAGGCCCGTTTGATCCTGCAACTGCCTCAAGGCGCTGTCATTGATCACCTGATTCCTGAGCTCACAGAAGATTGCCATGCTGTGTGAAGCGTCATGTCAGTAGACATGCATCGACTGCATCGAATCAAGCAGCACTCAATTTGGCCAGAGAGCACGATATTGGCCGGCACAGTCACTGTGAGAGTATCCACAGTAGTGATGTCTTCCATCCTGAGCTTTTGGACCCTAGAATCAATCGATTTCGCAGGACTTTCACCATGAGGGTGCCAACCCGGTGAGAAAAGATGCCAGAGACCCCAAGTTTAAACATTAAAGCTAGCGGTCATTTGGGATCAGCTACCACATCTACCTTCTTCACATCTTGCAGACAGACTCGGACTCTGGACTCAGCATTTCAACTGCCCATCCTGACCGGCCTCTACTCTCTACCAGTGCAGTGGCCCACAGGTTTTGGACCTTTTGCCCCGGCCCTGTTTTTTGCTGAATAGCTCTTCTTCGATCTTCTCTTTGGCATCAATGGCCTCTTGCGACATCGGCCGAGTCGCCCACCATTTCTTGGAGTTTCGGTGTTCCTAAGCTCTTGGGCCGTAAAGAACCCCCTTTTGATCTCTTTTGTTGCCGAGCAGTGGAGTCAAGCCGAGGAGTTTTGCTTCCCTTTTGTTTGGGGGAGTCGAGCCCGCCAGTCCAATACCAGGACCCAATTCTGGCATCCGAGGTCCAAAGCCTCGCACCCAACACAACGTAGGTTACGGGCTCCAAGACCAGTCGAAAATGGAAGCACTTCGGACGGATTTGGGCCAAAGGTTCCTGACGGAGTTCAGTTCGTAGTGGTTTTAGGTCACCAATTCCAGTAAAATGAGGTCTTCGCCCTGTAGGGCATGGTGAATCCAGGAGCCATGCTTTACCGACTTGACCGACTTCCTAGAGCGAGGCTTATGGTATGCAAAAGGATTATATACAGTGATTACAGGAACTTGACTCATCACACCGGCGTCTTCATGCGCACCTCTGCCATTGTATCGAAGCGTTTCGTCCAGTTCTTGCAGGCTTGTTTCGGAACCCATCTGACAGATACCACCGTGTGCGGCTGCCCGACCGGACCCGAGACAGACAGGACCGGTGTTCAGAGCTGCTTCTGCACTCCTTTCGGAGCGCTGAACACCGGGGTCTGAAGCACCGGCGGCACCGGGGCACCAACCTATGACAGCCTTGGATCGGACTTTCGAAGGAGGATGCACCAATAGGTAGCGATGTGGGGGATCAGATTACACTCCCCCCCCCCGGTGATCAGTCATGCCGCCGAATAACTTATACCAAGGTTCTCAGCCGCAACAGCAGCTTGACCGTCTCAGCACCAGAAAGACCGTCTCATTTGGAATCAAAAGCTCCACAGGCTTCATCAATCTTTATGAAGCTTCATCCCCTCAGATTTGAAGAACAAAGATGACCCTGTCATACCCTGTCGGAGCATGTTTGTCACCAGAAAGTACCGCCCACGTCCAAAGTGCCTTCCACCCTCGCGCGGCCCCGTCTCGGCGGACCTTGTCGTGGTCATTGTCTTTGCTCCAGATCCGGGCTGAACGAGCATCGAGCCTGGGAGATTGAAGCCGTGGACCGTACGCCTGCTCCGAAACCAGGACGGCCATCGAAGAACACGAGAAAACCACAGGTCCCAAGTACACCGCCCAAAAAACTGTGGAAACCTGCTGAATGAGTCTTTGCCTCGTCTTGCTTTCTACTTCTGTCTTGTTCTGTAGAATCTATGCTGAATCATCCGTCGGTGCTCCTCTTTCGCGTGGTTTCGGTCCCCGAGGGACCAAATGGTCCCCCGTCCACTGACTCACGGAGCAAGCAACTCGATGCGGACGTTCATGTCCTGCTCGATGCGGCCCTTGATCTTGGCCAAATGTCCCATGGACATTGGCTCGATGTTCCTTGGTGCCGTACGGAGCATGTTCCTCGGTGCCGTACGAAGTCCATGAACCGCTGAACGAACTGGGTTGAACCACTGAACCGCTGGGTTGGGGCATCCTTCTCCCCTGACACCAACCTGGAATGAGCATGTTGACCGTCTTGACTCTGACTCAGGAGCTAATCTTTCAACTCACTTGAAAATATATGAGTCAGAAGCATTAATATAGTTGAAAATATGTATGTTATATTATATATAATATATATATATATAATATATATATTATGAAATTGGTCTTGAGGAACTTCTTGAACGTCCAACCGCCAGCACCTCACGTTCATGGACACCGATGATCGGTGAGGTTTCAATGGGTCAGCAAATTTGGTAGCAGGTGGCACCCCAACCCCACCCAAACGATAGGGAAACGATGGGAAAACGGATGGAAAAACGGATGGAAAAGGCGGAGATGATGAAGAAATCCTCCCAGATCCATGATGGAGAAATCCTGACCCCCATCCAACTTTACTCAGCGAAGCATCTTGATGAGCACAGCTCCATCTAACTGAGCAAGAACATCTTTGGGTTCTTCACCCATCAACACGCCGTTGATGGCCTCCTTGCACCTGCTGGGATATAAACCCTCGCCATCAACGGAAGCCTCTTGACCATATAGATTGTTGTTTGGGGTCTGATAGGTCCTTCGAAAACACCCATGGGCCATCATGGGGGTGAAACAAGCGCTTTAGGTGTATCTACTCTAAAGCAAAGAATCCACCGTATTCTTTGCGCCGGTGTGTCTTGTACGCTGCGTACCGGCGTGTTGTAGCTGCGCTTTGCTGTAGAATGTCCCCTCCCAGAGCGGAATTCGACCTCTGCTGCCCTTCTCCGCCTCCGAATCCTTCCGAATCTTTTTCTTTGCCTCTTCCTTTCCATGCTTTTAGTTTTCCTAGTCTTCTCTCCGCTTCCTTTTCTTTGCCTCTTCCTTTGGAGCGGACCGCCTTCTCTTTTCATGGGACCTTTGAGCAGGGTCAAAACAAAACTCTGACTCCTTTGACGATGCTTCAATCACTAGCCTTCATGTTTGCTTCGCGTGCTGTGACTTGCTTCCATTTCCATCATTTGACTTGCTGGCATTTGCTTTCATTTCCTTTCAATGTTTTTGTGTCCTTTCATGTCCTCGCATGTCTTCATTCCTCTTCCTCGTTCCTTCTCCTCTTTCCTCCCTTTCCCCCTATGACTGACAGCACTTCCCATCGCTTGACCTGCAAACACCCGCCTGCGTGAGGCGGTAAAGGGCCAGGGACTAAAAATACCTCGAAAGTGAATCCTTGCCCATCCACCTTCCAAAATCTTCCAAAGGCGGGTAAAAGAGTGCACCAAGTACACCGTGGTCAACAATCGAACTCCTGTCTGTCACAACGTGGCCTGACCCTCCGCAGTATCGTGAATGAGCTGCTTCAGTCCGCGTTTGCATGAGTCTGTCCTGAACTTCAAAACCCAGACCATCCACATATGCAGTAGTTACTTACATTAGGATCATCTTCATGGGGCAAATGCATGTAACTCTTCCAGTCCCATGGATGGTCTGGGAACCATCAAAAGATCAAAGGACAAGTGACAAGCTTCGGCCCTGAAATATATATACTGTCCTGATCAGCACTATATCTGCTTTCCTTTGCCTACCCATGCTTCTGTTGGCCCTCTGCCCGACTGGAATTTAGATGAATTTATATAGTACAAACCGCTCTGCAACTCGCCTAGCAATCTGCTCCTTGGTGCCTTGGATGATGACCTTCCGCAGCGCAGGATCATCGTTGTCCCCTGGCAGGTCACTGTCATCAGGGTCTGTGCGGCAGATCTTCGACAGATTTTCACCAGCATCGGCCACGTAGCAAAACGCGTTCAGACTCGGCGTCGACGACTCGACGCTTGCGGTCTTTGTGGGTCTCCCACATCAAATGTCTTGGTGAGTGAGGATTAGTAAGCAGCCCGTCTCGACCAATACGATCATTTAGGGACAAGGGTTTTGGTATGCATCCACCCAATGTACTATTCAACATGACTCTTCATCCCTAGCCTGTAGATCACCAGTTAAATGGGGAGGTCTCGTTCAGATGGCACAACGGTTGCGTGGTAGGACCTCGAAACCCAGCCCAACACCGACCGACCGCAGCTCCGCAAAAGTAGAAAAACAGTCCTCGCTTGTTGGGCGTGATGATCTTGCACTTGGTGCCCTCCTGCAAAGGTTTGCTGGTGAGGTCAAAGAGTCCCAGCATCCTGGATCCTCCAAGTATTTTCTTTTATTTCACCAATGCTTCAGCTAAGTATCTACACTGGACCGGGATGGCTACCCGCTTGATGTCTTGCTGCCACCGGTCACCTGCTGCAAGTGTCTCACGTTGGTTGATGGCTGTTCTTTTTCAATATGGGAAAGCACCCTTAAAGGAAAAGAACAAAACAAGTACATAAGATATGTGAAGGGAATGTCATGCAAAACCGTTTGGGAAAAGAACTCAACTTTAATACAAACCCACAAACATGGCTGCCAAAGACAAGAATAACAAAGAAAACAGAAACCACCACAGGGTACCACTAGTCACCGGTGCCGGATAAAATGACGGGAAAAAAGAAAAGTGTATATGGGATTATATGTATGGGATTGAATTTTGGGGAGGACCTCCCAACCAATCGGTTTTGGTCTAATTTCTTTCCTTCTTCCAGCAGGTCGTCGCCTGGGAGGTCTCCCTATTTTAATACACATCCAATATAAACCTGATGCGTTCTGAATTGCCACCATGTTCACCGCCTTCACCGCCTTCTTCGCGTCCTTCATATGGGGGTTCCCGATTCGGTTCCGTCCTGCAGGTCGCGGATGTTGCAGCCCGCCCGGCCGATGATGCGGCCGATGTCGCGGTCGTCCACGTCCATCTCCTCCATCTCGCCACCCAGACCTGGGGCGCGGCCACCAGCGGACGAGAGTCGAGAGCGGTTGGTTTCTGGCTTTGGTTTCGCGCGCCGTGCGCGCTGGTCCGGGAAGCCGGATGGAAGGCCATGCTATAGGATTAGAATGATGGGATGAAGCTCCAATTGAGTCAACGTGGTCAGCAGAAATGCGAAGACCAAAAGAAACTCCAGGTACCAAGTCAAGAGAGAACCTGGATCGCTCGGTGAAGTGTTTCGCATCAGATCAACCATACAGGCTGAGTGTTCTTCACACTCGCTTGGTGTTCAAATCATCGCTGTCGCCACGACTGTTGGATTCTAGATATGGGTGTGTCGACAGGGAGACCCTCCTGGCGCTGGGTCGACGGGTGTCTTGGGGGCCCTTTTTCGATCGGAGCCATCGGTCGGAACGGATTGGAGGTACTGGGCTCCTGAGCTCCCAGATGGGGGTACAATGAGTCATTGGAAGTTCTGAAGTAGCAGTACATCCTTCCTGTCTGGGGTTGTCTCAGACTTCTACCAGCAGGAATCTGAGAAGCTGCAAGTGAATTACAATGAAGAGGCAAGGATTCTCGCAGGGGAATCAATTCTTCACCGGTGCCATCCCATCAACTTGTACCTACAGTACAAAGCTTGCTGTTCAAATGGCACATTTAAGGCATCTGTAGAAGCATTGACCCATAGAGTAATACATCGATGATTCCGCCAGCCCAACCACTTGCACAGCAAGACAATCTTCAGGTCTGCCATCTTTACGATTTGATGAGCTTTACATTTCTTGACTCATTGACCTCATGTTTGAATCATAGTACATTATAGTATATTATAGTACAAACCTCAAGGATCGAAGAAATTCCTGTTTCTATTCCCAATTTCTATGTGACATAGTCCTGGAATATCTTCTAAAATTGATGACCGGAGTCGACTTCAACCCCTCCATAGGACAAACCAAGTTGCCGTAGGACGAACCACCGTATTTGCCACCACCGCCATAGCCGTCGCCGCCCTTACCTCCGTATTTGCCACCACCCATTGCAGCAAAGGGAGAGTCAAAACAGGCGCATTGTAGATGTCAGGAGTATGTTAAGTTAGGTCAGTTGGGTTGGGTTCTTTCTCCAAAGTTCGGATGAAATCGTCTGGCAGGTGTCCAAACCAAAAAATAGGCTGTACATGTTCCCGAACCAAAACCACGGAGGTCACCACCCGTCCCCTTTTGGCTGGCAGTTTTTTTGCTTTTACGCTTTTGGAGATGGTTTGTGGGAAAGTCAGTCTATCTCTCAGATTTATTCCGGTCTCACAAGTCTCACCCACGATGTTGGGTTTGCTACGGAATATGCCTTCGAAGCTGAGAAGCCATGCTGGTGGAGTTGGTTGGAGTTGGTTCATGCCAGTGGATCTTCAAGCCATGCCTTCAGCCACAGCTGCGAGTGAGATCACATGGGTGTTTCTCCCCAAGTCGAACCCGTGCGAGACTAGGAAACCAGTGTGAGCAATGCCCGCACTCAAAAACATAACAAAAACATGCACAAAGCCCCAGTGAGTGTAAGAACTCCAAGTGCAACGCCGCCCCACCGCACGTTTCCTCAATTCTTATCCGCCACACCTCGAAATGCGACACCGGTGCTTTACACTTACCGTAAGAACCCCTAGTAGCGTCTTTGCTCCTAGTAGCGATGCCAGGAACCCCTAGTAGCTTCTTGTTCCTAGTAGTAAGGCCAGGAGCCCCTAGTAGCGTCTTTGCTCCGTTCGTGTGTCCACACTGTTTGGGGAATAAAAACCTTCCAAAGTCTGATGAAGAACAGACGCACCAAGGGTCGACGGACGAAAGGAGAGAGTTCCCTCGCTTCTGGCGTCGCTTTTCCATCGTTCGAGGAATCGGCGTCGCGTCCTGGCGCGCCGCGCTGGCGGCGCTCGAAACGGGTTGAGAGGCAGGTTAAAGCACCTGGTGGAAGCTTCAAAGCGATTGGAGATGTCCAAGTGCTATGACGGAATCCGGATTCATAATGATCTATCTTTGAAGCCAAGAACATGGGTAGATCACTTTGTCAGTGATACTCTGAACAGAAGCAGGCGAAAGAAAAGGTCATGTCATGCTGCACCGCTATTCTAAAACATACTGAAACAGTAGCTCCTCGGTGCTGGTGCGTGAAGCACCCAATTCGCCGCGGTTGGAACACTCGTTTCACCGCGTGTCCCCTGTAGTCACAGCGTTTCACCCCTGTGTCCATCCTCGTCCATCCGGCGGCGATAGGCGGAGATTGCTGAAGGGAGAGCCTGGACATGTCGGTGAAGCGGAATGATTTAGGCTATTTCATGGGACTGGCATATGCATTGATCAAGATCGTCCAGGTGGCAGTTGAACGCATTGTAGAGAGCTACCCTGATATGCGACTCGCATGGAACGGGCGATCAGACCTGATTAGGAATTCGAACCCTGCAAAGTCGCAGGCGTACCGCCTTTGGCTTGACCGAAAGAAAAAGGACTGGCATATATACCGGTGAATGGGAGTGGTTTGAGGGATCAATGTAGGCGTCTTCCAGTCCAAGCTATGGCTCAAGGAATCCTACAGAATGGTGAGCCAGAGCAATTGTAGTGAGCCAAACCGACCGTAGGGAAGTGAAGACTGACGGAGAATGGCTGAAGATGGGATGCTGAACATGGCGGACCGTGTCCGTCTCTTTGCCCAGTCGCAAGTGATCTAAATCTCTGTCGGAGAGGTCCCAAATGGTCGCAAGTTGTCTTAAGTTGTCTAAATCTTTGTCCCAATGGCCCAAAGGGGTGTGGAATGAAGGAATAGACCCCAAGGTTTCTATAGTGAAGGGTCATTCCCCTAGTCCTCTGCTAAGCAGCCTCCGGCTTCTGATAAAGGACCGCTGAGCTCAGCTGTCCTTACCGCCACTTCTGTCAAACCCACCGGTGCCGGTCCCCTCCTGGCCCACCGGTCCCGGCCTGGCCAGAATGGCCCAAGGCTTCGACCATGACCCACGTATTTAAGCCATCCAGCTCCAACCTGGCCAGCTGCTGGACACCGGTTGTTCACACCGGTTTTTCCGGGTGAAACGACTGGCAATGAAGGGTGAAGATATTTCTGGTCATCCAACCAGAAGTGAGTGGATGAAGCTATCAGCCATCCGGCGGCGGGTTCTGGGGTTCGAGCTGTGAGCTCTTGTGACACCGTGAACGCAGGACGGGTTCATCAAAGGGTTCCTGGGTGGAGGAAGAGCTCAATTTCAACAAGTTCACTCCTTGGGATCACCATGAGTGCCCAGCGATGAATTTCAACAACGAACAGGCGAAGGTCAATTCTGCCGCTGGACTCAAGTGGACTCTCCAAGTACAGTAAGTACTTTCAGCAGTGTTCGATTCACTATGGCTCAAGACATTCACATATTCGCTCGAGCCATGTAGCCCGTCTACTCAACTCATGGAGTCCACATATTCAACACAGAAAGAACCGACAGAAAGCAATCCAAAAGTCAAGCTGTGCCTGTCCAACGACTCCCGATAAAGAAAAACATGTTTTCAGTGGACACCCCCGCCGTTCACTGAGTTCGGTCTGGACTGGTTCGGTCCTCTACCACCGATGTCTCCCGAGACATCCGGACCCCAAACAAATCCGGCCACGGCCACGGCGTCGTTTTGGGGCTGGAAGCCGGGGGACCCGCCCAAAAAAAGGCTGCATGTGTATATATTATATACACAATATAAGTTCTAAACAACCATCAACATCCATCAACCCAAACCCCCCGAGTGAGGATTGGATTGGATCAAAGGAGCTTGCAAAAGAGCAAACACCGCCTTCCCGCGCTAGTGAACTTGAAACTTTGCATTTTGGACGATGGCAGGGTCTTGGGGACTAGAACAAAGCGACTCGAAAACCTATGCGCGTGCACCCCAAAAAACTCTCCCGGTGCCCGTGGGGCACCCTTGGCGCTGCAAGTGCTGCAGGAGCCAAAAAGTCTGTTGCCACGCCCCACCTGAGTTCTCTCCATCGCGAGGAAATACATATTTTGCGACCTAGAATCACCCTTCACACAGAACAGATGCCACTTGAACCATGGGGATTCAGCTTGGGTTTCATACTCCATGTTCAACCCAAGCTCCCAAATCTCCTCACTGCCAAAAAGAAGATGTTGATCGGGCAACATGGTGAGAGCCTCCAAGTTCTGGTGAAAAACCTGGGGGGAATTCGAGCGAAAGAGGAGCCAGGAATCCCCAGGCATCCGCCACCTGTGTGGGGATCCCACTCCGCCTCTGTCGTCCGCGCGCATGGTCGCGCAAGGTCGCGGGACCTTCGTGGTTCTCGGGTTGGTTCTTCGACCCTTCGCGGTCTTTTTTCACATCTTTGACCCAGGAATTCTCCACTAAAACAAAGAAAACCAACATAAAACAACATCCCAACACACTGCACCCATCAGATCCAGACCGTGCTCGGCTCGGCTCCTCGTCCTCCCCGTCCGGTGGCTCGTTACGGCTCGGTCCTCGTCTCGCGGTACGTCTCGAGTGTCGGTACCGCGCCGTTTGCCCCACGAAGACGTGGAGGAGGAAAGACGATCTAACCCGGGAAGACCAGTTCTCCACGTTCTCCATGGTTTTTGGTGGAGTTGGGAGTCTAAAGCCTTGAGCCTTCGCAAACAAAATAAACCAAGAAAAGGGAAACCATGAGGTCCACAAAATGTGGCGGTCTTTCGGCAGCCAGGAAGCCTCTGCCTCCAACCTGGACAATACCGAGGTCCACCTGAACTCCGCATGTTCAAAAAAATAACGATACATTTGAAGAAAAGAAAATGAGAAAAACACATCAAACCGCCTCACCCGAAATGCGCATTGTCCGAGCCACTCTTGAAGCAAGCGCTGATGGTCACGTTGTAGCAAGCCATGTTGGGTTCCTGACGGACCACGGTGTACCGACGGCGCAGGTCCGGACGGCGACCTCCCCTCCGAAGGCACGGGGTAGACCAAACCCAACCCCTTTGGTAGTAGAATCCTTTGCTCCGTTCGCTTCGCGATGCCAGGAGCCCCTAATTCGGTTCGCGTCCGATCGCTCCGTTCGGTTCGTAAGGCCAGGAGCCTCGTTCGTAGTGTCCTTTGCTCCTGTTCAAAGCCGGAAGCTTCCATCTTGAAGGGCAAGATGTTCCGCCCTTCCTTGTCCATTTTGGCTGTCTGGAAAAGGACCCCCTTCAACAAAAATGGACATGTCACATGTCTTGAAATTTGATATCGCGTCTCCTTGCTATGGGAAAGAATTCCACAATCTGCCCTCTGGAAATGGTCAGATCGCCACACGTGCGGTTTCACAGGTCGTTTTCGTTGTTTTCGCAACGACATACCCTGCTGTGAAGTATACAGAGCATTGGCGTAGCCAAGTGTCAGATATGATACGCCTGCAATAGGACTCAGCACATCTTCAGCTGCATTTGTTGTGTTAGTGTGTGACAATTTGTGTGCACCGCGTTCAACATGGTGTGGCCTTGTCTTGTCTGTTGTTCTTGCTTGTTTTTGTTTCCACGGAGCATGTTTGCATGCAAACTCGATCAAAGTCACGATGGTGTTTCCTGGCTTTTGATGCACTAGCCCTGCAAGCACATATGCAGGACATTGCAAAAACAAATCAGCCGCCGCTCGCCCTTCCATCTGCACACAAACTGCTTGCACTGCTTCTCCAATCGGACCTTGCATCGTATGCTTACTTTGCATCTGCTGTCTCCATCGATGGCATCCCTGCTTCGTTCCTCATCTGCCACTGTTCTCAGACTCGCCGCTGTGGTCGTGCCACTGGGCTTCGAACCGAAGCACCACAGTTTCGGTCCGCAGTTTCAGCGCTGTTTCAGTCAGCGCCGTGAAACCGCCGCCATCATGTCGGCTCTGTGCAGCAGTCATGTGGCGAGCATCACATGCCGGCTCTTTTCATGAAACGACAAACAACCGTTTGGACCTCCCCTGAAGTCATCATGGTGGAAGTGGAGTGAGTGAAAACCACCTGTTTGGTCTTTAGACTTCATGGTCATCCGAAATCGAGGCCATCCACCTAACCATGGTTCCTATGTCCACACCTTCTTCCATTCGTCGGCTCAATCCGGTTCTCGTTTCTTCGTTCAATCCGGTTCTCTCCAGCAATACCCTCAAATATGTTCATATATTTTCGTGACAGCACGATCTCAGCTTTGTGATGTGTTGGTATCCACTATGCGGGCATAGCCGCAACCTAAGACCTAGACCTTAGGGTAGCATCATACATTTGACGTCCAAAAGTGACCGAAGCGGCCCTGTGTTCGGGACATCCGTGGAATTTACACAATAACTGCCTTCGTGACCTATGTCCACCCAATGCATGCCAGAAGCCGTCGGTCATTCTTCCTGGCCGATCGGTCCTGGCTCCGATCCAAGAGTTGCACCAGTAGCGAGAGGGCCTGGCGAACGAACGAAAAACCATCTGTCGAAGATGGTTGGAGTTGCTTGTAAATCCCCCACAAATCCCTGACCCTCGCTAGGTCTGACAAGACCGTGAGACCCAAACTACCGGTGCTTTGGGAGAGGTAGCTTTCTGGTCGGCACTACCGGTCAACCTGATGCACGGCACTACCGGCCAAAGTGGCGGGACGCCGGTGGCCATGTGCTGAACTGAAACGGATTGGAACAGTGTGGGACAACTGGAGAAACTCACCTGTCCATGGGACTGAAGGGACAACTGTTCGCCGGTCCGGTCAACACGGGTCGATTGGACCTCAGGGACCTCGGCTTTGCGGAGCAACTGGCTTCAGTTTGATGCTTCACATGATGCAGAGCATCTCCCTGCAATCCGGAAAGACCTCGTTGGGCAAGAAGGCAGAGATGTGGAGCCGTGTGCACAGATGGGGCATTCCTTCTAAGCCCGTGCCTGTCAACATGGTCTGCATCTCCCGTGCGCGAAAAAGCTCGTAGCTTCTTGTTCCTAGGTAGTAAGGCCAGGAGCCCCGTTCGTAGCGTCCGATCGCTCCGTTCGTAGCAATGCCAGGAGCCCCCGTTCGTAGCGAACCTTGTTCGGACGACTAGATGGACCGATGTCGGAGTTGATGTGCGACGCTGCTCACCTGAGACGAACCACAATGGGCCCATGAAGGCATGGAGCCATGGCTTCTGCCAGGTCGTGGCCTTTCCGGACCACTCGACCACTTGCGGAACGGCCCGGATCCTTTCGCCGAAGGGAATCTTTTGCTGAAACGATGGAAAGGAAGGATGATGCGGTGTTGATAAGGGCCTTCACTATCAATAGAATATTATGTGTTTAAATGTATACTAAGCAGTAAAGCTCACGACTGTACAAAGCGTCTACAATCTTCAAAGCTTCGAAACTCCGTTTCATGTCGTGACAAGCGTCCACGGTTTAAAAAGAACCCTCCGACCTCCGAAATGAGGCCTAGACTTCGACAACTCCACCAGCGGTCGACCGGACCGTCGCGGTTTTTCCAGGACCTGTTGAGGACCCCAACCTGTCGCCACTGCATGGACAGCTCACATGCTCCGATACTGGCAGCATGCGCTGGAACATCCGCGTCCTCACCTCAGTTTTCGGGATTCGTCGGACTCGCGGAAGACGCGAGTAGAATCGGGCGGTGAGACAAGCCGGAGCGGAGCTCGGGTGTGATGCAACTGGGTGAACTCGCGCGGAACGGAGGGCATACCCAATTCGTCCACAAAAACAGAAAGGAATGGGGAGCAAGACAGAGAAGATCGGAGAAGCAAGCGACCTGAGACTTCCGAGGGTCAGGAAGCTCGGAAGTTTATTCCATGCTTTTTTGGTGGGAGAAGGAGGGCCCAAGGAGGGCTGGATGTGTATGTGAGGAGGTATCATCCCTGCAGCGGTGTTGTATCTGACTGCATATCGTAAAGTGAGTAGGACTTCTGCCACAAGTCCCACTCAAGGCAGCTAACCTTGCCACTCAAGGACCTACCTATCCCTCTCGGCCCGGAGCAACTCAAGCATGTTTTGACATCTGCAGCTCAGACTGTTGGGCAGTGTTGTACTGGTCACAGAAGCCTTGATCCCCAGCAAGGTAAGTTGATCTCATTTTGGCTGTTCTTGCCTACAGCAACTCAATCAAAGCCTCTGTTCTTTCGCTTCAAAAAGTCCTGTGCTCTCCTGGGAGCGCAGGGAAGGCCAGGCCAGGTCAGTCGATACCAGATCCGAACGGCGCGGTCAGTCCTGGAGCAGTGTCCCGAAAGGAAGAGGACTTTGCAGGAGGACCAAGGACCTTGTGTTGGGACTTGGATGATTTGGATGTGTATAGAGTAGGGACACCATCTAAACATTAGTGGCAGTCGTGTGTGTATATATATAATATATAATGGATCTATATGGGCTCTCTTCAAGAAGGTCTTTGATCGACCTGTTTGTTCATCCAAACCCATTGACATGGCCGGGCGTTTTGGGGCGAGCGAAACCGGGCCGAGCGTTGCTCAAATTTTTCGAGCCTGAAATGTTCCCCTATATGGTCATCCCCTTGCCACCCGGAACCTAGGCCTCCAGGTCCCACACATCTTTTTTGCACCTTTGGCGGCACCACGCAGTTTTCTGCGGCTGCTGACCCTTTCCACCAACTTTGAGTGGTTTGACATCTGAAAGTCCAAAATCTGAATGCCCGACGCAGCGCGTTCGGCATTGACCAAGGAGGAGAAGCGCACCTGGTCGTACACTGGTTGTTTCGCTTGGATGGCGTCACAACTGGGCTTATAACGAATAGAGCGAGAGAGAGAGAGAGAGTGTGTGCCAGTGGGCCAGCGGAATTGCCAAAGAAATTCTCAACGGAACTGAAATGGTGGTATCTCCAAAAAGAGAGAGAGAGAGAGAGAGACCGCTGTTTTTTTTTCCAGATTGAAGCAGAAATCGTCTAAAGCTCGTTGTGTGTTCTCCCAGTTGGAGACACACCCCAAACACGGGAAATATTGTCTGTGAATCAAACACAACAGCACAACAAACTAAAGTTATATAAATAAGTACTTGGAGATTGGATGGTCATGGCCGCGCTTGGGTAGTTGAAATCTCTAGACTCTTAGATGTCCCGAGGAGACTCGTCAGATTTCTCTGGTCGGTGACTGGCACTGGTCTTCCTGGTGCGTAGCACTGGTCTGCCTCGTGGTCCTACCACAACGTCCTGAAAGTCTTTTAATCAGCGAGTGTGGATCAACCAAGGAAGTGCCACCCAAGTCATGTTTCAATCCTTGAGATGTTTTATCACACGTCGCACGAGGAAGGAGTAAATGATGGTTTTGCGTGCAACGAAGGCTGGTATGATTCTCACGTGGCCTTACCCCTGATGAGACTCAATTGGCCACGAATCCCAACGGTGGGAATGACCCTCAAACCATCTCAAACCTAGAAGCTCTCTAAGCTCACTGTATCTGTCTGTATCTATACATAGCTACAGTAACTTGTTCAGCACCGTGCAACATTTGTTGTCTGTGCGTGTTTGCAGCATGCTGATCCTAACTCAATCAAAAAGAGTGGCCAAACACAGAACTCTAATTCATCTGACACTGCCTTGGCACACGGATCAAAAAGGCCATACATTGGAATGCTCCCAAGCGTTTCTAGGGGGTCCTCAGGCTCACCACTCATGCTTTTGAGGACACGATCCTTCGTCCCAAAAAGGACCTCCCAGCCCCCGAAAGGGTGTCAACGGTGGTCCATCTGTCCATCCGGAAACATCTTGCGATCCTCTTGCAAAGACCAGGGCCGAGGTCGTCTACTTCACGCTGACTGGTGACCCCTGCCTGTGTCATCCTGTTTCCCTGCTTCTTTGGTCCAGTCTGTAAGTAAGGGAACGCATGCCATGATCATGCCCCCCTTGCATATACAAACAACATCAGACTCATGTGAGCCTGTAACTCGAAAAAGTCCCTAACAAACCATGGTTGCAAATTATGGTATACGGTATTTGTATATATATATATATATATACGCTTATAGATAGATATAGATATTGATATAGATATAGATAGTCCCTTTCCCTCCAAACATGTGAATCCCGCCACGAAGCGCTCAAGGCTCCCTGCCCCGCTCGGGCCTTCCGGTCGGGGAGGCCCTTCCCGTTCAACGTCACGCGCTCCACGTAGATGGCGCTGTTACTCTGCTGATCGGCCCGGATCACGAGCACGGGGCGGCCGGGAATCCAAAGCTTCGCCTCGGCCGAGCGAGATCGTCAGGTCGTCACGCAGACGTCAAATGCCGGATCGATCGTCATGGATCGTGTTTATAGTCGGAGGGTGGAGTGCTGTGTCCGAGGACTTTGCTTGGCTTTGGTTTGATCCCGGAGTCATGAAAGAGAAGGAGAGCTTGGCCGGGAAAGCACAACTCTTAGCAAAAAATGGCCATCCCCATGCTACTTGGGACCTTGTGGATTGTCGCGTCTGTGTTCACCCTACACAAACGTCAATCATAACTTCATAACCCACAAGGTTTCAACGAACAGAAGAGGAGGAAAGAGCAGGAGTTCCAAAGTGTGCTTGGAATCCAAATACTCACCTCTTAAATGGATCTTTTCTACCCGTTTGCCACCCAACAAAGTGAGCCTTTCTGAAACGACAGTGAGCCTTTCCTGTAAAATGTATATATTTATGTGACCTCCGCTACAACAATGCGCCGACACCGGGTGTCCGAAGTTGTTCGCTTGGCTCGCGCGTTGGCTATCTCGACGAAAAGGACAGAGGTCCTCACAAGAAGCTTTGAAGAAAGGTGGGGAGCCCCTAGCAGGTCCAGGCACCTGGTAGAACACTGGTAGCTTTCGATGCATGTGTCATCACCGTTGCAGCGAGCAGCAACTCCACCTCTGCGGTCCAGGCGCGTTCTTCACCTCTGGACTCCCGAGCACCAACTCGTCGCTCCCAGGCACCAGGCTGAAGAGCCCCAGAGACGAGAGCACCTTGGAGGAAGGGCCAGGCCGTGAAAAGGTCGGCCATCTCGCGGGGCATTCGCTTCCTAAGAAAGATAAAGGGTTTGGGTGGTTGATGATGGTTGATGGTGGTTGATGGTGGTTGATGGTGGTTGGGAGGATTCCAAATGATCGATGTGACCAGCATTTGGTTCATTGAGGCTCCAGGACTTCTCACTTGCGCAGCGCTTGGTGGGTTTCAGACTTCGACTCATCCGATTCCTCCTTGCCAGAAAATACCAAAGCCACGAACACTGAAGACCAATTCCAAAGAATTGTCGCTGCGATGCTTAATCCATTCCAATGAGACGATGATGCTTAATCCATTTGGATGCGAATGCATCACCATCAGTGACCAACCATGCCAGGGAGTTCGCCAGGAGCCCCCAGGCCCGGTGCTCCTAAGAACCCCCCAGAATTCTGGTCGTGGTCAAAACCGGAAAGCGCGCACCCGCCACACAGAACAGTCCTCCTGGTTACAACTTGGTTGAGATCAAATGTTCCTACCTAAGGATTCGCATAGTCTGTCCTGAGTCCTAAGTGCAGAAGGTATCCTGAAATGAGTGAGTGCTGGTCTACACCTTTGGATCCTTTTGGCTTGGCTCATGTTCTTGATTGATTCTTGTTTCAGGAGACATGTTCTGAAGACATACTGTGTCTTCCAGCATCTCTTCTTTGCGAGGTTTCCTCGGAACCCATGACAGCTGCTGTTGTCATTGCTGGAACCTCGAGCTATTTTCCACTGCCATGATTCAGATATTCAGAGCCTATGTCCCCTCACGTGGCTGATCAGTGCAGGTCTGAAATTTGTTTTAAAAATAAAAAAAAGAACGTCCGCTTCCTTCATCCTTCCTCTTCCAAGTCAGCCAAACACAGTGAGCTCTTCAAAAGACATCCAACATGCTCAGAATCCAAAGGTTTCACCAGGTCTCACGTCCGCCGTGCAGAGGCACATACCACGAGGACATTTCTCCGTTGTCCTCATCGCCGATCCAGCCCTGCAACGTGTAGAGCTCCTGGATCGGCGAAGGGAAGCGACAGGCCTCTCGTCCTTGACTTCGTTCATATGACTGAAAAGAGTCAAAGACATCTTGTTGGCAAACCCAACCAGAAGGAGCTCAAGCCCACATGTGTCTAGTGTGGATGAAAATAGCTTCCAGGTCGACACATGAGGTTGGCTGTCTCCTGGTCCGTTAATGGTGAATGTGGTAAAGAAGTCCCCCCCGAGTGTCCGATCCCTGTTGAAGAAGCCTCCGGTGGAGTATCTGTACAAAGATGTCTTGACAGGTGACCGACCAAGTATACACTTGGTTTTGGGCACCGTCAACCACAAACCTCTGGCAGAAAAGGGGTCTCAAAAAAGGAGCCGAACGGCTAGCGAAAAGCAACGTCCCAACTCCACCGGTGCAAAACCCCCCACGCACCCGGCAGCCCTGCACCCTTGAGGTCTTTTCAAGCCCACCCTTCAAGAGGTCTCTACTATTCTGAACTTCTCTACTGAGCTCCAACCATCCCTTTTGCGGAACGATGACCGCGCTCCCTCCTTCATCACTTGTCGGAGCCTCCGCTCCGCGAAGGATCGGCAACCAGCTAGCTGCGCCACGTAGAGAACGTGGTGCACTGGCCTGAGGCGGGGTAGCGGGGTAGGGAGCTAGGGTGGAGGCCATCGCATTGGGGAGGAGACCAGACATGAGCAGACTTGCGGTGCTCACCACGACCAGTGAAACTGGTCGGGACTCGTGTTCTTTTTAAGTTTGGTTCGCGGACACCCCGCGGATCAGGTTCCTGCTTTTGCTGCTTTGAGAGTGTTACGCTTGGACTGACCCCTTTTTTGAGGGATCCGATTCTGTGGCATGGAAACTTGAGATGAGAAACCCGGCAGGAGATCAGAAAAGGTTGGCTTTAGACTTTAGACATGTGTTCGCCATGTCTCTCCGCTTCAAGGTCTCTAAAATCCCGCACATCTACCAGTTTCAGGTGCACTTTGCCATGGCAGCTTTACCTGTCAGCCCCACATATGTCTGGCTTGGTTTTGAGCTGACTGCAGCAGGTGTTAATTGCTTATGAGCTATGGTTTGCGGGCTGCAGGTGTTTGAGTTCTAGCAGTAAATGGTCAGCGCCAACAAGTGGTCGTGAAACACCCTCTACTCTTTTGGTTCCACCGATGGAAGATGGACAGCACCAGCCACCCTCAGCCGTGTAAAAAAACAAGAAAGACACTGTGAATGTGGAACATCACTTTTTCCTCATGAGCTGATCAGCTGCCGCGCTATGCACCTTACACCCATCAACATCCTTACCTCCTCTCATGTGTCCCACCATCCGACGACAAACGTTTGGCTCATGGCTTTTGACGACGTGTGGCTGGTTGTTGTGAGAATAGAGGCCAAATTTCAGCATCTTGGCTTCATACATCTCATGGATCCACCCATAGGTCCCGGCCTACGAGTGTTGGCGTCAAAGAACCGAAAAGCTCTACAGCAACCCCCCCGCAAACTAGCATAAAACCAACCTAAGAGCAATGGCCTCCAACCTACTAGCGATGGCCTCCAACCCCCCCTGCAAACTAACATAGAACCTGAGACTTGACCCTCCTCTACAACCCAGTGGTTGTGGTCCTCTGCAGGGGAGTAGTAGTTTCTATCAAACATGGACTCGATTCATGCTCCATGTGGCTGCTGAAGTGTCAAGACCTCTCTCGATGGCACTTCAGCAGCTCTTGGTCGTGTAGAGATTACGAAGCACCAGACCTGCTCTTTCGTTCGGTCCCTTCGGCATCCTTCGGCCTCAAAATCGTCCATCGAAGCAGGGGCTGGGGATCGACTAAGTCAACGACCGGAGTTTGTCTTGAACTGACCATTTTGGATCATTTGGATTGTCAGTCGGGCTCTTGATTGCCTCGAACTTGGCCTTTCGCTCCTCAAACATCTCACGGAGCTTCTGGCAGAACTTGCGTTTTCCACCATAAAGTTCCTGAACGTTTCGCCGCCAGCGCCCCAAACTGGTCGATTCATGCGCCACGTATTCCTCGCATTACATCTGCAAGCCACGAACCAACAAATGATACCCAGACCCAACAAGTATATATACACTCCTTGACAGAATCCTGGAAGTCGAAAACCATCTGTTTGGTATTCAGATTTCATCGTCATCCCTTCGGGACCATGCCATCCTCTTCCATGATTCTTTCAGGGGGAATATATATTTATATATTATATATATATACATATATATATATATGTATTATATAACATACCTATACATACCTATTATTGATGTGGTTGAAAAGGGTCAATGCAGGCAAATGTTCCAGTCACATGGAGTGTCTGGGACATCAAAGCCACCCGCGGATGTCCACTGAGTGTGGACCCTTGGCACCTTCTCTGAACGCGTCTGACTGGTGGGCTAAAGGGAATTCAGGAATGATTTACCAGCGAGTCCATCCTCAGCTCCACTTTTAAGACAAACCCAAATCAAAGCTGCAAAAATGTTGCCAACAAGAAACACTCCAACTCCAACATCTCATGGCCACCACGTATATAAAGCACGGCACTGACCGCGCTTTAACCCCCAAACACCGGTGTTTCCCCAGTGGTGCCCTTCACACCACATCCGCTGGCACCGCCTCCGCATCGGCCGAGCCTCTTTCAGACCCTCCACCTCTTGCGGCGCATCGAAGCGCGCCTGCGCCGCGCTGGCCTCCGTGAAGCCGTTGCCCCAGCGGAAGGGGTACAGCGGACCGTCCCACTGCCCGTTGGATCGCTTGGGACGAAAGAAGAGGGACTTCACATCGAAGAGCTGCCTGGGCTTGAAGAAGCGGCCGTGGCGGACGTCGTGGCAGACGCGGTGGAAGGGAGAGACCGAATCGAGGGTCGATTCGAGCTGTGCCAGGTACCAGTGGTGTCCGACCACGGTCAACCACCAAGGCCCTAAGGCTGCCGGCGGTGCTCAAAACCGTGAGGGGAGAGGGGGGCGGGTGACAGGCGGTGAAGCCTGTTCACCCCTGCAGGGTTCCAGTGGGTGGGACGCTGGATGTTCCGTCAGCAGAGGGTCCCAGCGCACGAATGCGGGCGAAGGCCGCCGAAGCCTTCGCCGCACACGGCGAAGGAATCCACCCAAAGCTCCAACTTTGATGTGTATCCTGTCGGCCTCCATCTCCATCTTGTCAACAAAAGGAACAAAAAGGTATCACAAAAGGGCAAATTGAAGCAAGAATACTTCACCCCGACTATCTCGCACAGAATCCCTTCCGAAAGTCCCACTCCACTCTCTATCTCCAACCCGCCTGAAGTTCTGCGCCCGCGCACGCAAAGCTTTGGCCACATGAGCCTCTCCCATGGCCTCCGCCGCTGGCGCGATGCATGCGTCCGCCAAGCTGTAGCCTTGGCAGAAAAGAACTGCCACCGCTTCGACACTCGAAGGAACTACCATGGGGAATGGTTTACGACACCAGGATCCATCCCGAGGTCTCGCCACCCGAGCCAGTCCGCAATTGAAGCTTGCCTCTTTGGGTCTGAGTTCAGGTGGGAGAGATGAATGTGGACCTGGACGTCCAAACTTCGACCTGGAACTTGGAGTAGTTCACCATTTCGGGAATCAGCCGACCTGGGTGGTGTCGCCGCGCTAGAAAGTCGTATGGCCCCAGTCGCTGGTTCGGTTCGGATCGTCGAGCCGACGATCTCCGACGCTTCACAGGCGTTGAAACGCCGTTCACGAGCATCTACCGCTCTATGTGGACAGGAGTCACTCCAACACGAAAAAAATGGAGGTTCTCCCCGCGGGTTTGAGGAAAGGCATCGTTCGAGCGATGAGTCCACCAAGTCTTTGTGGTTTCTGAATCGTAGTTTCTGAATCGGAATTTATTCTGCTCTTCTGCGGCAGCACCTTGTTCAACTACCTACAGAAGCACCTTGTCCAATGGATCAGGTCTTCAACCCAACATTCTTCAATCCAAGCGACCCAAAGTCAAGCTCGCGCTTTGGTATTGGGCGAACATCTCCAGGTCCAGATTGTCACTGGGCACGTATCCGCGTTGAATGTAGTCCTCACAGCATTGTGAAACTTGCATGTCATAACATGGATTTCTCGAGAAAGAGCAGGAACAAAGACCTCGTCTTTTACAGGAGTTCTCGACAAAGGAAACTCCGGGCATGTTTCCCCGCCATTTCTTGCTCTGGTCCTTTATGAATGGAGATCCCAGCAAGAATGACATCGAATGACAGAATGACCATTTGATCGTTCTACAAGGCTAAAGAAGAACCAGGTGGGAACCCGGAAAGCGAGTTGGACAAGTCATCCCCCCCCTCCTCACCCTCATTAAAAAAGCATGCATGACCTTGATATCTATTGCTTGGTGTATGTCTATATAGAGGGGATACATTCGCTAGAATCATCATGGAAGTGGAACATGGCACCTTGGGGGATCGTCATGGCACCGACTGGCTTTCTGCTTCGATTGTTTCAAGGAGTGTAACTTCAAGTGAAACAACCAAGAGGCAAATGAACCCCTCCATTTCTTTCCAAAAGGACATCATTGATTCACAGTGTTCTTCATCTTTGGAATGGTCACCTGGGTAGAGATTCCACTCACTGCATTCGGATGCGAACTGGACACACCAACGATACTCAGTGGCCACAACAGGCAAGACAGTTCCCTGTGGCATGGATGGTCCTTGGAAAATCATCGGAACACCTCCAACACCAACACAAAGCAACTCGCGGTTAGCTTCCTCCAAAGCAACTCGCCCTAGGCCTCGCTTTAAGTCTGCAAAGGAGGGCGCCTGGATGGAGGTTGGATGGATGGGTGTCGTGGGTTCGTCTCAGGTGTCATGTGCGGCTTCACCAAATGAATCCAATGGAGGCTGCATGGAGGGTATGGTGAAAACAACAGGTGCCTAAGATCCCCTGCGTAGTGTCAGGTCAGAACAAGCGACAATCGACAGCAAGGAGACCTAGACAGGGGCCGGTCACTACTACGTAGACTTCAGAGGCAACCAAGAGTTTCCAGGTGCAGGATGCTTTCAAACTGCGGGGATCCGCTTGCACTTTTTCAGCTCAAAACTTCTATTGGACCCGTAGCAGCCAAGCACAGCGGATCTGGTCTGTAGTCACTGTATTCTATCTTCTTTCTTCCAGGTGGTTTCCACTGGGGTCTCCCTTTTTCGACACACACCACACCCTTCTCAGAAGCCATGGTCAAACAGAGAAAGACCAAGACCTCCTCACAAGAAACACTTTGGAAGCGCCCCCAACTTGATGAACGCGAGTCGGAGTGTTAAAAGGCGGAGCGGATGCCTGGCAGCCGCCAAAACGACCTCCAATTCACACTCTCCCTGGCTTTCTGGACCGAACTTCCAATCGCTGAAGATTTCTTCCACCGATTTCTTCCACCGGATTCGAAAACGGTGGTCGGAACTCATGTCGGATTCAGAGCTGTCGCTCCATCCACGTGCCATGATGTGCTCGACATCCTCAAACACAAATTGATCAAACGACCAGAGGATTGGATCATACATGCCTCCGTGAAGATTCATCGCCAAGTCCACCGAGGCTTTCTTTTGAATGTCAAAGTCTGACAAGCTTCGTTTCATCCTCAAGCTCCTTTCCTGCAAAGATCAAGCTGAATCAAGCGTTGGTCGGGATCTCAGGATCTCTTCTTGGTCCATCTGCACTTCGAACGAGACGTCATGGAACACTCAGGCGATTGAGGGCCTATGATGTCCATCGGAACTCACAGTCTGAGCACGTTGTCCTTGAATCTGAAGCTTCACTGGATCCCATGCGGTGACGCTCGTCGCAGCTCTTCGCAGCTCCTGCCGCCGCCTTTGCTCCGAAGGTTGCGGTTCCTGGACCAATCGAAGAGATCGATCCGAAGCGCGTTCGTCGTGGCCCTCGTGACTCGTGAAGGGGGGGGCGCTCGACGCCAAGTCGCGGCCCGTCCTCTACAAGGGTATTAGGTCTGTCCTCACTCTCTACCGTGCACAAGGACTGGCCTCCACACGGAAAGACTTCACGTTCAAATCGAGACCTGAAGACGGCCTCTGCAATCTCTTTTGCTGTTCCCAGCAAGTTCTGCTGAAGGTGGATCGGTTCTGCTTGTTGGATCATTCAGCAGGGCCTTTTCTTTGCTGGATTTCGCAACGCGCAATGCCTCAACACTCACAGCAAACATGAAGGTGGCCAACTGGTCTTGGACGCAGTCCTGTCAGATCAAAGCCAAAGCCTGAGCCAAAGCGCAGACCATGACTTACAGCAAGCGTGACATGGCTATCAAGGCTTCATCTGGCCCGTTCCACTCTGGATACACCACTGTTTTCTCGCGGAGATCAAAGAATGTCAACGGATGGAAGACTCCAAGTTATGGCATCCAGCTGGTCAGATTCACAGCTTCCTGTCTATCTTCCTTCCCAGCACACTCCCGGCCTTGAAGGCATCCTGGCGAATGGCCTCATAGGCAGCAGTGCTGTTGAAGCCATGCAGCAGGCCTGGAACAAACACCGGAGGACCAACCACCAAGGGACCGACCTCATGTTCAGCGATCGGTCGTTTCAGATTCCACCGGTGGTTTTCGGAGCGAAACGGAGTCATTTGTCTGTGGTCAATCCCCGGACTGACACTTGGATCTGAGGCGTTGCTGGAAAGCCTAGAATCCTGGGCTGATCTCTGGCAGGAGTCATTTCGGTGTAAATTCTCATACATACTGCGAGATCCATGTTATGTCTTCACAGCTCGGTGGCTAAGGTGTTCGCAACTAGAGTTTGCCCCGACGATCTTCGTTTTAGGAAGGCACACAAGTCTTTGACCTGCATGCGAACAGAGGCAGAACTCTAGATTGACTCTAAATCCCCAACCCAAAACAAGAACAATTCTTCCCACCCTACAAGCCCCACCTTTGCCTCTCTTCTAGCTCCCCCAAATACCGAAGTCTTGCCCCTGCCACCCCCGGACGAGTCCGTCCCGTTCGTCCCCATCAGGCGTCCGCCTTGGTGGCTTTGCACGATGGCGTCCGCCAAGCTACAATCGCCCATGGTGCCCACCATCATGGCCCTTTGGTTGTAGGCAGACCACGTGGGGAGCCATCCCAGCTCCTCCCATGTTTCGGGACCACATGTCTGTGGCGCTCCAAAGCTAGGCGTTCTGCATTCCGGTTGGGTGAAGCAGTTGGGGTCCACAGATCACAACACAACCCAAGATATTTGGAATGGGTTCCAATTATTCATGGATTCTGGGCAGGCTTCTTTGTGGCGATGAGCGATGTGGGAGCATTGGCCTGTTCGGCTTGCTCATGTTAATCAAAAGGGCACTGTTGAAAAGGATCTCGAAAAAGTTATTTTCTCGGCATGTTGTGGAGACACTAGGCACAACCTGCTTGGACAAATATTGTTCTTCAGTTCTTAAGAATATTGTATATATAATATATATATATATAGTATTCTGTCCGATGTGATTGCTCTTCAGATGCGCAGCAAGGGAATAGCGTGCATTTGGGCCCGTCCTTGTAAGCATTTACCCAGCCCTCCATTATCTTGCCCAGCACATCCGGGAAGATCAGACCTCAGCAATCACGACCCCAAAATGACCTGGGATGCTGAAATCGCTATGCTAAGATATGATATGCTGCTGGAGACCCTTCTGAGAAGACCGACCAAGGAGTACGTGACTCTTGGTCATCTTGATCGTCTTGCGTCTCACAATGGTCTTTTGTTATCGTTCTCCCCTTTGGCTTGCAGGCGCTTGCACATGCGGTGAGTCTAGCCAGACATTGGGTGTAGGTCTGAGATTCTCACAAAAACACCACATTTGCACCAAACATGATGGTGTCCAAGACTGAACATGAAATTGATGCCACGCCTTCCCTTCCGCCAACAGCCGAGAAACTGAGCATTGGATAATGAGATCGATAGGCATCCCAAAAGCCCTGGTCAGTCACCGCTTGCCCAGGTTCGATCCTCTTGGAATAAGCGGAGCGATGAACCAACTGGCCTGGCAGTCTTCAGCTCGTGAAGGAGAAGAATCAACTTCTCCACAAAGAAATGTTCATCATCTGTGCCACCGCGCGTCCCCCCACCCAAAGTTGCTTGGTCACCAGAGAATTCAAAAGAAGCGCCTACAGTCCCCAAATCAGAAGAGGTTCGCGTTCCTTTCCATTCCTACCAGTACTGAGGAAGTAGGATCTCCACCAGTTAAAAACGGACAAACCCACCATAGATCTTCGAGAAACACCCATGACTTTGAAAGAAAACGTCTTCTACAACTTCTACAACCGTTGGTTTTTAGGCCAAAGTGTTGTCGTGTTCGGAATGAACTGGACCTCTGGCTTCGTCTTTGGTGTTTTTAATCAAACGTAGCTGTTCATGGACAACTGCCACAAACTGCAACCCTTCAAAAGAAACTTCTTGGAAACAATCGTCCGTTTGTTCTGTCTCGTCTTCGCCGGTCCGCACCTTCTCCATCGGTCTCGCCTAAGAACCGGGGGAAGAGCATGCCCCGGTAGAGGTTGGTGTAGAAGACGTTGCTACGGGAGGCATTCGGGAACTCCACCTGTTGACTCAGTCGCTGAGAGTGACAAGAGTGACAAGTCGGAGAAGTTCGCAGATCTAGAACATGAGGATCTAAACCGTCTAAGCCACGTGATGAATGCATCCCAGGCAGCCCTTCTGAGGAGTCTAGTCACGTCCATTTTTTTGGGGGGCCATTCAGCGCCTCTTCTCCACCTAGTTTTGCAGAATGCGGAAAGGTGTTGTGGCAGGCACAGACTTGAAGAATTCATAACTATGTACAAATAAAACAAAATAACAAGAAAAAACACATACACTGAGGTGCTGTTCTTAGTTCTTCTGGGAGCTTTGGGGTTCCTGAGAGGCTTGTGTTTCCTGAGCGTTTCTGACCGTGGAATTGTTGTATTATGTTATGTTGTATTACTCTTCTCGCTGAGTCCTTTCTGGGCGACTCCCAGAAGCCTTGTTGGATAGGGATTGGAAGCCTTTCTGAATGGAGATGGCCGCGTACCCTCCTGTATACTACGGGGACAAAAATCGGTGAATGCCATGTTCGGCTTCCGTACACCCTTCTGGCTGTGGGAACAACAACAACAACAAGAAGAAGAAGAAGGTACAAACAAAAACTGCAACCCCGTGCCCGTCACAACATATCTTCTTCCTTTGTCTCTGCCAGGGGGTGGAAACAAAAACTGCAGCGCCGTCGTTGTTTTTTGATCCCCCCCGAAAACAACCAGCCAACAAGTATGCGTACCAGTAGTGGCAGTGATAGTAGTACTAGTGCCAGTGGTAGTAGTACTAGTGCTATAATGGTAGTCGTGCTAGTGGCAGTAAAACTTCTACTCAGAGCCTCTACCACCTCCTAGAAACAAAAACTGGAGCCTGCACCCCCCCCTCAAAAGGTGTTGTTGTCTCTACCCTCCTACAAAGACTGCAGCCCCCCCTCCTAGAAACAAAGACTGCAGCCCCGTTGTTGTTTTTTGGACCCCCCCTCCAGAACAACACCTCAAAAACACTAAAAACGGACCAGCCCAGACTTCAGTGAAACAAGTCCAACAAAACCAGCTACTTCCGAAACCAACTTTCCCTCAAACCTTCAACTGTATCCCTAACCTTGTCCCCTTGAAGTTCCAGAGTTACAACGTGTGACAACTACGTTGGGCGGCTCTTCTTGTTTTCTACCAACAACAACAACAACAACAAACCAAACCCAGCGACAGAACTGTCGGGACAGCTTCCCATCTGTTCCATGACTTTCGTTTTGTGCCACCACGAAACCACCCACATGAAACCGCCCAGTGCTGCCCGCGGGCACCGCGGGCACCGCGCGCGCCAACGCCTGGATCCTGGAGAGCAAGCTCTCCCACTGTCCTTTGGCCTCACTGTTCAGCGTCTCCCACGTTTGGCCTTTCAGCTCCTCCTGGTAGTTCAGATAAGCTTGCTTCACACTGATGAAGCCTGTGAAGCGGATAAAGCCAAATCTGGCGCGGGTGATTTGATGTTGCCCGAACAAACACACTTGCTCAGACAATAACACTGAATGTATCATTCCTGACATAAATCTTGGAACCTACTGGTCACTGACCCTTGCTGCTGACTGGTTTGACACGACTGGTTTCACATGATGGGACTAGTTTGGGATGGTATGATGAATGTATGATGTGCATAAAGAGTCTAGTCCTTGGGAAGTAGTGTTCACGTACCCCACTTGCAAGCCTGCAAGCCTGGTCCTTCATGAGCCGGACTGCGGCACACACGTGGCAGCTACCATCCCCCGATTTCAACGGTGTTTGTTCCACTTCTGGTCCGAGCAGATCTACCGGCGGAACAAACAGTGATGTGGAACAGGTCGCAGCAGGTCAGCGGGGCACCGGCTGTTTCAATGGTCGGCAAATGGTATCATTGCATATCCTCTCGCTGAAGCAAAAGGACACCACTCTCGACGTCACGGGCAACCCCACCAGATGGAGAGCCTTTTGGTTAGGCTCTGAAAGGCAGACGAAAGCCTTTGTTACTAGTAGCTTCTTGTCACTACTAGTATGGCACTTGTTACTACTAGCGATGCACTTGTTACTACTAGCGATGCGAGGTGTGTGGAAACGTTGCGTTCCGGTTCACTCCTGTTCACTCGTGCGTTGCGTCGTTCAATGGGCCGTAGTTCAAAGAGACCTGAACCCCCCAAATCTAGCATTTAGAAACGCATAGACCACCCTGCAGTACAGAACCATCTTCCAAAGCAGCCTGGTTAAAACCACCATCCATGACTTCTTGACCAGCAAGTGCACTCCTTGGATCATCATGGTTAAGTGGAGTTCACCACTTGTGTGGTCTCCGGATTTCATGGTCAGGGGCCATGCCATCCACGCCATGATGATGGTTCCAGGAAATATTATGAGTGTAATGATCTTCCACTTGATTCATTGTCTGAATATCTTTCGAAGTACCGTCCTGTACGATAAGTCCATGCCTTTTTTCCTATCCCCCCAACGTCCCGCGTCCGCTTCCCAAGCGGCTGGTCGCCAGCCGCAGCACCATACGCTCCGACCGTTGGATCTCCAGACCTTGGACGCCGACGGCGTAGGGCCGGACCTTCCGGGAGGTCTATTTGCATGGACGAATCGCTTGTCCGGTCTATTGACCTGTGGTCCGCTGGTGACGAAGGAATCGACCTCCAACTCAAAGACCTCCAACTCCGCGATAGATCGATGTGGGGGGGGTCGAAGAGTTCCTGGGTTCTCCGAGGTCTTGTTTTCGCTTAGCCCCAAAAGCCTGGAGGACTGCAGAGGTCTCCGATGGGGTCCATGGGCGTCCATTCTTCGAGTGGAGAAAAACATGAAAAGACATGGCCTTCCAACAGGCGGTGTGTTTTGGTGCGACTGAAAGCTCTGGTGTCCAGCGTCTAGAAAGGCTGAATGAAACATGCTTTCCCATTTAGTCTTTGGGGTCATTTCGATGTTCAACTGGCCAGAAAGCCCAACTGATCACCACATGCATCCTGAGATGAGTCAACAAGGAAGCCTTCCAATGGTTGGCCCATGAAGACATGCTTGGTGGAGCCGGTCCCCACCGTTCCATTGCCTGAAAGATGGCCATGTGACACGCCTCGGCCTCATGAAGATTCCACCGCGTGCCGTCCAAGTCTTCCGCTAACACGAAGAAGCTCTCTTCATGATCTGTGCTCAGCAGTCCACCACCTTGAGTCGATTTGTGGATTGAAAGTCAGCCAATGACCCCAATGACCCCTGGTTCGCAGATAAAAGTGGAAGATCAATCCAGCCAATACTGGTTGGTTGCTGAATCCCTGGTCCTGAGTGTCAAATCATTGGCCCTTGCTGATCACATCAGTAATCATCCTTAATTAAAACAACTTAAAGCACCCCGGGGAGTCACATACATGCCCGGGTGATTGATGTCTTGACGAAGAGGCATGTTGCAGCTATGTCTTGGGTAGTTTCTTTGGAACGCACTTGACATGGATACCTGAGAGCACCTACTCTTTGCTGTACAACAAAGCCACCCATAAAGTTGCTAGAACAAATCCAGCACCACATGAGACCTGCATACCTCCAAAGAGTTGCATGTCCTCTATCTCAGCTGGTGCATTTTGACCAAGTTGTGGCATTGGCTGTTTCCAAAAAGACATCCATCAGGCCTGACAATCTAGAGCTCATGTCTCCTTCGTCCGAATTTCCATGTGTTAGAGTTTCATCTGCTGGAAGGGTGGGAAAATGAGACGAACATGTAAAGTAACGAAAATGATCAAACCCCTTGTCAGAACCCATGATAGAATGGATGGAGGATACAGCAACTATATACGATACAGTTGCAGGACCCTTTTTGGAGGAGGAACTAGTCGAGAACCAAAAATCCAGAATACCGGACCTATATGTCAACCAGGACGAAAGGAGCACACACCCTACGAACTGACCTCGAACCTAAATTGCCTGCCCTCGAGCTGCAATCCATTATGATATAAATCCAAACCTTGGTATATGTAGATACAGGTAAACGACCGAGAACTACCAACAAGTCGCACCTGGTTTTCCTTGAGCCAAACGGTAGGTAAGTGAGACATGTATACGACATCCTAGCGTGAAACAACACCCCCCGCTGAACGAAAATGGGAGGAGTGAAGTTATGTACAGTGCACTAATTAAGGACCTACGAAGGTATCCGGTCCCCCGGTACGTGCGAAGCATCGAACCGGAACGTGCCTTGAGATGGAGAGGATGGTTGACCTCAAGGACGGATCACATAATGCACTGTCATGCTTTGATGCTAGGGTTGAACATGTCTCAACTGATTCATGCATGAAAGTTCAAAGCAAGCTCACAAAGATAATCTCTTTTGCGCAGCGGAACTGGGAGTGCATTGCCAACCTTTTAGAAAGCAGGAACAAAGCCATCAAGGCACACGCTCCCGCGTGGCGACAAAACACAACAAAAGATGTGCGCTCTTCATTGCAAGGATTGAGAGCCAAGTTCATCGACCTGAACTCAAATGAATTAGCTGCTGGTTTCAGGCATCCGGTCCCCCGGTGCATCACAGAAACGGTCATCCAGGCAACCGCTCCCGCGGTGCGTTGAGGGAAAAACACAGTGCACAAAGAAAGCCGAGTCACCCGTAGATTTCATTCTCTTCTCCACAGGCAACAGCTCCCGCTGTGCGTCGTGTTCACCACCTGCGCTGACTCCACCAGTCATGTCCTCGCCAGTCACTGCCACGACCGCGATCATCTTGCCACCAGTTGCGGTTGGATGAGGACCACCAGGAAGACGATGAGGATGACTGCTGCCAATCATGGTATTGATCACTTCCGGCAGCTCCTCGCCAGCGATGCTCTGATGTCTCGGCTTGAGTACGTGTTGCTCTGGCCAGACTTTCACCTGGACCTGGTGCGGCCTTGGCCTTGGGAATCACAAGTGCCCTTGTTTCTTTCACAAGGTTGATATCCAAGCCAGGTACAAATTGAGCATCGCCCATCACGAATTCCAGGAGTTCATCCAATACATCATCAGGGTCTGTCTTCTCACTTCGCCACTCACCTCCAAATCCCAGGATTGCGGGTCGTTTCGCACCTTGACAATAGTCCGCCGCGAAAGTCTCAGGTCGGTGCAGCCTGTTCTTCCAATAAATGAAGAAGTCCTCGCTCAGGTCAGCATCATTCCCTTTTGCTGGTTCGTTCATGAAGATGACTTTTCCAGCGTATCGATGACCGACGCCTCGAGCAATCATTTCCCTTGTCCTCGGAGGATCAGGGATGATGGCATCTGATAGTCGTTCCAGGAATTGAATGCAGATTGGAGAGAGGTCCTGGGCTGCACAGTTGAACGCGTAGAAAGCGTCAGTCAGCTGTCGCTGCGATACTGTCATGGACATTTTATCCGCCTTCTGGACATGGCTTTTGGCGTTCGCTTTCAAGATGTTGATGCCCGAACGAGAAGCACGTTGAACTTCATGGCCAGGCGTCCCCGCCGGCGTCCTCCTCACACCTGTTCCTTGCAGCCTATCCTCAGGTACCATGTCCATCGTGACTTCGATACCGAGATCGGATGCAATTTCCTCGATCCGAATGAGCTGAGCAGCCTTACACAGATCCGAGGCATTGTTGAGGAAGGTGCCGCATGTGATGCAGGACATCATGCCATGGGTGTAGGTATGTGTGCATGTCGGGCACTGATCTTCTGGCATCTGAATGCCCTCAACGACCATCCATCGAGTGTTGCCATAACCCTCAGTCTCGGGGTGGATCTTGCGCCAATCAAACCGAGGTCGGTTGTAGTTGGGCAGCATCTCTTTGGGCGACACTTGGTTCCTATAGGCGTTGAAATTGGGCCTGCGAACGACATACGTGACCTCGTATGTTTCCAAATCAGGATTCTGCTTTCCTGATATCATTTGGTCTTTCACGCCTGGGCGTTCAAACAGTTCACCGTACACGAATGGGGAAAAAGTGTCCACCTTACCACACCACCTCTCATAGTCACCAAGGACCTGGTAGGTGTACTTTTCCAGTGGGCTTTTCACCATTTCATCGTCATCGGCAACTGGTCCCCCAGTGCGTGCTGAATTGAAGGCTTTGGTTTCACCGGTAATGATGCCGCGATAGTGTGCGTACACATGGTTCGCGAAGGCGTAGCATCGGGACTCCATGTCATACACGTAAATCACGTTCCGGTTTGCCAGCCAGTCAGGGCATAGGATTGTACCAGCAGTTGTTTCTATGAGCCGGTGCCCGTTCAACATCATCATCTGGAGATCCAAGGCAACGCAGATGGGGCGAGTCGCCGCCATCGCTGCATAATCAGTGCCCGAAATTGTCCACGGATCTTCCTTCGTCAAGAATGTGAACCTGGCTCCAGTTCGATTGCCGCCGGGAATCAATCCCATGTTGATGATCTCAACCAGTGCTGCCCGGTGCGTGTAGTGATAGAGGATGGTGGGGGCCACTTCCTTCACCTTTCCCAGCGCACCTCGCGGAACCCGAGGGAATTTGCCGGCCTGGTATTCCACCGAAGTATACTCCTCGTCGAGAGTGACAAAGCGTTCATGCTCAGGAAGTGCGTCCTGCACGTTGTTGCTTGACCATTCATTATGGTTCTGAATCGCTTTGATCCGGAGAGGTGTATATTGGTATTTTCCACCGACCAAAGTCCCCTTTGGCGCAATCCTCACCTCGAGCATGAATCTGTGATTGGATGTAATGACCGTCAGCAGTTCATCGTTGGTAAGGTTGACATCGTACTTCCGCTTGATGAACGAGTACACCTTGCCAAAATCCATCCACAGCCCAGCGTCGAAGCTCGGAGGCTGCACCTTGTGCCAGGATTGTTTACTATGCTCCCACCCTCGGAGCAAGCCCGAGACACGTCGGGAAATCCAGACTTGTTTCGAGTTCAGGTTCGCCAAATTGGCAGCACCCGGAACCGATCTTGACTGCAACGCCACAACTTCGTTTTCCCCAAGAGGCGACGAAACGGGAGGCACCGGTGGTGCCCGAGGCATGGCCTTGGCTTTGACAGCTGGTTTTGCTGTCGGGGTCGAATCCGAGGCCACAGCTCCCGCCGGGCGTTTTGGTACTTTGGGCTGAGTTTCCTCTGTTGGCTTCATTTCAACATCGGCCTCAGCTCCCGCCGGGCGTGCTTTTGCCTTCGGTGATGCCGGTTTTGTTTTCGACTTTGCAGTCTCGCTTGGCACTTTTGGTGCCCTCGGCTCACCTGATGCCTTCGCCTTTGGGATCCTCGGTTGTGGTGCCTTGTTGGCCAGGTCGGGCTCGTTCCCCCGAGTTGTAACCTCACGGAACTTCCTGAGTGCCTCACCAGTGAGCTGAGGGATGTCTTCTTCCGCCATATAGATGCGAATGACATCGCTTTCATCCTCCTTCTTCCTCAACTGGTAGGTTACCCCGGCGACCTGACATGAATCGGCATGCATAGATGTGAGAATCGGTTCCTTGAATACGATCTCCTCATCTGAGTCATCATCTGGCTGATCTTTGTTTTCAAAGCCTTGTTTGATGGCGGAGTCAAGGTGATCTTTGAGAAGTTCATTGACATAGTTTTCATCCGCAATGGGTTCATTGGATACATGAAGCTCCTCTTCTTCCGTGATGGTAACAGGGTCCACCTCGGTGTCACCGTGCTTTGGCATATCAGCGGTGACAGACACGAACTCCATGCCCGGAGTGCTCACGGGAGCCTGGTTGTTTGCATCTCGACCTTCCGTCCCCGGAGGCGAATCAGCGCTGGGCGCAAAGGTGTCGTCAATCTCGATGACTTCCGGCACGCTTGCATCCGGCATTGTCTGATCAGCCGTCGACGGTTCAGCCGGGACTTGCACATCCTGACCCTCGTCATAGAAATCCGGACCAACGGTTCCCCGTGGCATATTGTAAAGTCGCTGATTGAATGGCAAGAGCTTGGCAGCTGCAATCTGCTCCTTAGTCGCGTAGACGGGGTCCCCAAGATCATCCATGTGAGCGACCTCGGTAGTCTCAGAGACCGTCAGGAGCCAGCCATTCTTTTGGTCGATGGCAGTCTGCCTCTTTTGACCCGGGATAAGCTCATCGTGCTCGTCAAAGTCGCCCAAGAAGAGGTACCCGGAGTCAATGCGCCACTTCCAGATGTGCTCAAGCATATACTGGCGGTTGGTTTTCTCCCCACGAGGTTTCGCGAAGAGGTTCGCATCTTTGCGCAACACATCAACGCCAGCGAGCACCCAATAGTGGTAGGCAAACAAAGCAACGTTAGCGTAGAACTTCACGAACATCGCCCGGTTCTCCTCGGTGTTGTGGCAGTGGAAGTTGTCATACCTCTGACACGATCGAACCAAGGTGGTGCCTGTCACATTCGTGACGCCAAGGCGAGTGAAGACATCCGCTGACTGGCACATTTGACGGGCGTATTCTTCCGGCAGTCCATAACTCTGCGAGTCGCAGTAGCAGATGACAATCAGGGCTGCCACATCTTTCCTCTGCCTCAAGTCCGCCAGACGCCTCATCTGCTGGGCGTGTTTTTGTGCCAGCTCTGCCTGCCACTCATAGGCTGCTCTCTGCTTGGCAGGATTCCGGTGGAGCACGTTGGTGTCCACCCAAGGGTTGCCCACAAATCCGTGGTTGCCGTA